CACCACCACCATCACCATCATCACCACCACCACCACCACCACCACCACCACCACCACCATCATCATCACCACCACCACCACCATCACCATCACCACCACCACCATCACCACCACCACCATCATCACCACCACCACCACCACCATCATCATCACCACCATCACCATCATCATCATTGGCTCTCTTTGACCAGGTACAGAGTAAGAAAAATAGTGAAGAACAAGTGTCATTCACCCTTCTCCCCAGTCCCCAGTCCCTCTCCCCAATGCAGCAAGGGCCACCAACTTCCTGCATATCCATCTGGAGGGAGTCTGGCATTCAGGGAGTGTTTAGTGAGTGAACAAAGAGGGGTGAGGGCAAGGCGAGGCACAAGCAGCAGCACCCCCTGCCCCCCCGGGAAGGAGAAGCCCAGCGCGACAGTACCTCTTTGCCAGCCGCACCATCTGCACCGGGTTCACCCTGTGGAGTAGAGAGTAGGAGACGTGTGATAGGCACTAATCCAGCATGGCATCCCCTGCCTCCCCTCGCCCACCACAGGTGCCCAGTCCTGGGCCACCAAGGGATCACGATTCTCTAGCCCTCACCCTCAGACCCTCGGGGCACAGACCATGGAAACTTAGATCCCCACCCCCCATCCCCAATTCTAGCCTGTCCCAGAGCCCCACACCAACAGCCCTGGCTGCCCCCTGACTGAGCTGGGCAAGGGAAGAGCGGGCTGCACGCTCCCGGCTCCTGGCTCGAGGCCCCGGCATCATGCAGGAGCCCTAGCTCTTGAGTTTATGTTACATGTTTGCCAAGCCTGCTCCCTCCCCAGGACAGGACGGGCTGCATCATGGGCCCAGCCTGCTTCTGGTGAGATGGTGGGGAAGACTCTGTGATTGCCAGGCTGGTAATCTGATACAACCGGAGGCTGTATCCAGGGGTACTGGAGGCTCCAGGGAAGGCCAGAAGGTTGGAGGGACCCCCCCTGCCCCGGGGCCGTGGCAAGAAATCAGAGTGTGTAGGTGAGACTCAGCCCTCTTGGCGGCTGGGCCAACCATCACCGCTGCATGGGCTGGAGTCATCCATCCCATTGAGGCCACCAGCCCCAGGGTCATGGCGACTGTTCCCAAAAGAGAACACCCTGACCTGGGGGCTAGGAGACCTGGGTTCCTGCCTCAGTTTCCCCAGGAGACTTCATCCCTAAGACTGGCAATCGAACCACCTGATGTGGGTCACTTGTCTGGAACCTTTGAAAGCGGGAGGATTGCAGAGTGGCTAAGGACGCAAGTTTTGCAATCAGGCAGGCTCTTCCGCTCACTAGCTGTTGCAATTCTGGGCAACCTACTTAACCTGGCTGAGCCTTGGTTTCCTCATCTGTAAAATGGGGACAATCAGACCTACTAAATAGGGTTGCAGTACCGATTAAATGACAAAATGTCAAGCACTTAGGTCACCATTCAGCACACTGTCCGTGGCCAATGCATCACGGCTCTTAGAGTATGAAGCGCCAGCTGAGACCAGGAGTGGTTTCTGAGTTGCTGAGGGGGCTGCGGTAATGGCGCCGCATTTCTGGTTCCTGACGTTCCCAGACTCTCTGTGGTTACCAGCCAGCTCCCCAGGGGAGGGGGCAGGGGGCAGGGGCAGAATAGGTGCCAGGTCTCCCCTGCCTGACACCAGGTCGAGGGATCGGCGCAAGTGGTGCATGGTCAGGGGCGGCGGCCCGGTGCGCGCCTGGCAAGTGCTGGCTGGCAGGACTTGTCCTTTCCTCCAGATATGACGTGATCCTCAGGCACGAGCCCCGCGCTGCTAGTTTCCCTGCTCACAGCCTCTCCTTCCCTGGAGACCCCAGACGCACAGCGCTGCGCTCAACTGACAAAGCCGACTGGCCCTCTTCCTGGGGGCTGTGCAGTGAGATGTGGGGTCTTACCGGGGGGCCAGGGTGTCCGGGGGGGCCAGGCTGGCCTGGAAGGCCTAGAAGGCCCCTTTCTCCAGTGGCTCCCCGATCTCCTTTTAGGCCCTGGAGACAAAGGAGGTGGATGGTGAGAGGGGACAGGAGACGCAGTGGTGAACCCCACACAGCAGAGGCAGGTGTCACTGTGTGTCAGGGGTGGGGTGGCGCTGTCTGAATCTGAAGGCCTTCACTACATGCCACTTGGGGAGACCCAGGAGGTAGGAGAGGCTGAAGCCGGGGAAGGAGGGGGATGGACCCAAACTCTTCCCAGCCAGGCCCCCGGGAGGGAGGGACGGGGGGCGCAGGCCACTCACCATTGCAGAGATCCCAGCTGGGCCTGGCTGGCCTGGAGGCCCTGGTGGGCCCTAAAGAAAGACGAAGTCAGTGGGATGGAAAGAGTCTCGGGTAATAAGGCCCCCTGGAGGCAAACGGGGAACCAACAGCGGGAACAGACCCTGAACTTCAGCAGCTCCATTCTCTTCCCTAAACCCTCCTTCCCTTCTGCTCTTGCACTTGAGCTTCTACCAAGAGATTTGTGCCAGAGCTGATACCTGGGGGGTCCCTGAGCTCACAGGACCACGGCCAGAGCTGAGGGCAGAGGGCAAAGGCCTGAAGGTTAACTATGTTGGGCCTGGGGTCTTCTGAGGCCCCCTACTTCCTCCTGTTCTGTGGGAGAAGCAAAGAGCAGAAGCTGCGAGCTGCGTAGCAGGGGCTCAACCCCAACCCCGGAGACCAAACGGATAAGGCCAGCCCTCGGACCCTGGGCCTCCCTGGTCTCCTGCTCTACTGCCTCTGGAGGGTAATGGGACTCAACTCGTGGGGGTTGCTCCCACCCTGCTGGGCTGAGGTGGTGCCCGAATGCCCTCCCATCTCTGAGTCACAGCTCAAATGCTAGCTCCCTGGTTAGAGCTACACCTTCTCTGAAGCCCAGGGCACGCAGGTCTCTCTCACAGCACCTCCCTCCATGCTCCCAGGTGGAAAGTTCTGGAGGCATGGACTCTGTTCTACCCCTCTCTAGACCTCTGGGGCAGGAATGCCCAGCACTGGGACTGGCACACAGCAGGGGCTGAGGCTGGGCAGACAGAAGTGAGGGGGGAACCTCGCGTCCCCTTTCCCCAGCCCCCAGTGAGTCCGTGACGGGCTCACAATTCAGAGCGCGCTCTTCCTTTCATCTGTAATGTGAGCAGGGACTAGGCTAAAACTCGGGTCCTCAAGCCAGGGCCTCTGGATCCCTCGAGATCCATACACACGGTGATGAGGACCTGAGAGCTCCTCTTTCTGCTCATGAACTATTTTTAACATTTCCAGAAGCCTCTTGGAAACTGTACATCTGCCACAACAGGCCTGCAATCAAATGCCAGAGTGTTTCCTTTGCTCAGGAACCCCATCAGCTCGGGGCCTCACACTGATCAAAGGCGCACATCGGCAGCCATCTATGCTACCGAGGAGCAAATCCAGACGGGAAACTCATTACGGCTTAATAACTGCCCTCTCCAAGTTGTCTTATCTCTGTAAGCGCGCCACCCACGCAACCGGCCTCCCGGGCCAGGGCCAGTCCTCCCCCGCCACCCCCCCTTCAACTGCTCCCCGCTCCCCGCCCCTCCCCCACGCAGGCCGGCAGCAAGTCCTCCAAACACAGCCCTCCTGCCTGCCACCACCACCCCACCGCAACCACCCCATCCCTCAGGGACACCCCGGCTTCCACCGGCGCCCCTCCCCTCCTGCCCACATCCCCGAGGTCCCAGGTCTGCAGCAGATCGTCTCCAAGCACAGCTTTCCGGCTCTCACCCACACCCTTGTCAAACTCCACTCCAGCCTCGCTGACCTTGGGGCTCCCCCTACACCCCAGGCCCCTCCCTGCCTCAGGCTCTCGGGCGCTGGTGGCCCTCCACCCCCACCCTCCTTTCCTGCCTGGACATTCTTCCCCCAGACTGCTAGACAGATGGCTCCTTTTGTCTTCAGGCCTTGGCTCAAATGCCACTCGGGCAGTAAAGGTGCATCTAAAGGCGCCTCCCAGGCCCTGTCTGTGACATCACATCCCTGCCCGACGCTTCTGCATTAATCTGTTGGTTTGTCATGCCTGTGCGCAAGCTCTGGGATCAGGGGACCTTGTCTGTCTCACTCTTAGCCCCCTGCTTGGAGCGGTGCCTGGCATGGAGCAGGTGCTCGATTATTGTTTGTTGAATAACTGAATGATCTTTGTTTGATGAGTAAACTCAAATGTGCCCAGAAAATAAGAAAATGGCAAAGACCCTGGGGGCCACTGGATGAGGTGGGCCCAGAGCCCCTCACTGCGCTATGGGGCTGCTCCTGGGGTCAGCTCTTTCGGGCCATCGCCCTCGCCCACCCCAGCCCAGCAGAGCCCTCACTCTCATAAAGGCGGGGGCAAGAACGGTTTAACTCACGATATGGCCGGGGGGGCCGGGTCTTCCCTGAAGTCCCATGGCACCAGGCTCACCCTGTAGGAGCCAGAAAAAAGAAAAAAAAAAAAAGCAACACAGAAGCAGACTTACTCGCACAGGGTCGTTAGGTGGGAGAAGGCTGAGCAGAGCAGGTGGGATGGCAATAGTCAGAGACGCTGGGCTGAGTCCTGGCCTCGAGGCCCATGCTGTCCAGGGCCCGAGGACCAGCCCTGCCCATGAATATGGTGGAGAGAGAAACCAGAGCCCCCAGCCCAAGAAGCCAGGCCCGGCTTTTTAGGTGAGTGACCCAACAGGCCGCAGGAAGGAGGAGGTGTGCAGTTTGGAGGCAAAATGTGCCCAGGAGAGAGGGCAGCCAGGTGGCCAGGGAGAGGGACGGAGCAGCTGTGTCTCAGACTCAGCAGAGCCCAGAGGCTGTCTGAAGGGAGCCTCTGCCTTTACCTCTGCTCCAGGCCGGCCACTGCTGCCCGGGGGACCTGGTTTTCCACAGTCGCCCTGGAAGAGAGCGGGCCAACTGGAGCTCGACAGGCCTCGACTTGGCTCCTCCAGCCCCAAGTTGACCCCATATCCGAAGAGCCCTGCCCCCTGCCCAGCTCTGGCCAGCAGCCCTCTGATGCCCTCAGGCGGGTAGATGGCGAAGCCTGACCCACTCTCCTGGCATCGGTGGTCTCAGGAGGCTCGGATGCTGCGATGGCATCTCAGCCAAGGCCCTGGTGGCGCGGGCACTCCAGCTAGGCTGCCCTGTCTCCTGGGGTCAGGCCTTGAGGAGAGCTGAGAAGACCTGCTTGGCAGAAGTCACCAGGTCCTTCCTTACCTTTGGTCCTGGGAGGCCAGGGTGTCCCGTTTTCCCCTTGAAGCCCTGGAAGAAAAAGCGGGAAGCTGCCAGGGCCCTCGCCCTAAGCAGAGGCCACTTCCCTTGCCTCCGTCCTCAGGCCAAAGAAATCAGACCCATCCAGAATCCTACCATGGTCCTCGGAGGATCTGGAGTTGAGCTGCCCCACCCACCAAGGCAAACCCCACACCTGCTCAGCTTTGGGACCTCCCCACTCTCCGCTCCTTCCTGCAGCTCAACTTACCGGGGGTCCCATGAGTCCAGGGGGGCCAGCAGGACCAGGGTCCCCCTAGGGAAGAGACCAGGGGCATATGAGACAGGATGCCCACTCATTCACCACTGTCTTCCCTCTCTCCCACCCCTCCCCGGCTATCCCAGGATGGAGGGAATGTCACGGGAGGCAGAGGGAAGACTCTAAGCTGGGCTCGGCCTCTGACTGGCTGTGGACCCTGAGTGAATCCCTCTCTGAACCTCAATTTTCCTCTTTTGGGTACAGAAGAGGGTTGGCCTTGATGCTCTGCCCTTTGCCATGCCCCATCCCTTTCAGATTCCCCAGCAAAACCAGACCCATGGAGCCAGGGCTGCTCGAGTCCTTCCATGCCTACAGCCTGTTCTCCCTGACACCCAGCCTAGTATCTTTAGTTGCCTGAGTTTCTGGATATAAATCCACTCCCTTGGCTGCCTGCCTTTTGGTGAGACCTAGCTCATGCAACCTGGTTAAGGCTACCAGGAGAAGTGAGGAACCAAGGGGCCCTGGAGCCATCAGAGAAGTGGTGAGAAGCAGGTGGAGGGAAGGCAGAGGCATGGGGGGATTCGGTTTCCTTCACTGGGGTTCCGTTGACTTTTGCTCCTGGAGGAAGAAGGAAGGAGGTGCCTATTATCTCACCCTCAAGCCAGGCTTGCCGTCCTTCCCATCCAGACCATCCAGACCAGCAGGACCCTAGAAACAGGAAAAAGGCATATATGCATGCTTGTGCTGGAGCCCTAGGAGGTGAGAGACCTGACCCAGCCCCTCCACCCTGTCCACCCCTCACCCAACTTCCACCCCAACTAAACACACACATGCGCACACATGCGCACGGCACATACCTGTCACGCTAAGAGGACACACACTCACCTGAATCCCAGGAGATCCTGGTGGCCCGGTGGGACCAGGCATGCCTGGTGGGCCTCGAATCCCTTCGCTGCCCTGGAAAGGAGCCCACCCCCCGCAACAAAGTCAGCAGGGCCTTGCCCCACCCTGGGACAAGGCGCTGGGCACTGGGTTCTGATGATTACTGGGAGTCAGGGCAACTGGTCTCCAGCCCCAGTTCTGCTCTGGCCTAACTGGATATATTCCACACCACTCCCCCAAGAAGATCTGTCTTCGTCTGCAAAGCACCCCCCTTTTCACACTGTTCTATGAGGAGGGGACAGAGCCTATTCGGCCTAGCATCTTCTTCAGGGTTGACCCAGGGGCCGGCAGAGTGGGTGCTCAGTGATGTGTGCCAACTAAAGGCATACGTTCAGTTCACATCGGTCCCAAAAAAGTGCCAAGCACTATACAGCTGCTGATCCTTCCAGATGAAAAAAAGGGTGGCCCCTGTCCTCAAGAAGCTCATAGTCCTGTTCCAAAGAGGGAGTGGCTCTCTCTGGCCAGGGCTCAGGGGAAGCGTCACAGAAGCATCACCAGACGCTAGACTCTGAAGGATAGCCGAGATGTGGGCAAGTGGGGAAGGAGAAGAGGGCATGCCAGAAGGAACTTCAGAGAAGGATGAAGATTTGGAAGTGGTCCCATGCCTGGCCTAGCCAGGGTGTCTGGGGAGCCCTTGTGAAGGGTGGGGTGGGAGGCAAGGCTGGAGGAAGGTAGAGGCTGATGGGGGGAGGGCCCTGAACACTGTGCTAGACTCTATCTCACAGACCAGTGCTTTTCAAACTGTACTTCTCAGAGCCCTGGGGGTTCCTGGAGGAGCATCAGAGATGGGTGCATGAAGTGGGAGCCCAGAGGGTGGGACCCAAGACCCCTGTCCCTGCCTAAGCCAGAGCAGCTCCACTCATATCTGTTATATACATTTTAAGCTTCTGTGTGATGAAAGGGCTCAGGGACTTCAAAATGAAGTCTGGGACCCACTGCTACAGGCACTGGGGAGCCACTGACTGTTCAAAGCAGGGGGATGATGAGCATCAACATGTGAACTAGAATGTTTACCAGAGAAGGGAGGGGGGCAGCTTGGTGTGGCGGGCTGCCGCGTCCCTAGTGCGAAGAGAGTGGCTGCTCTGGAGCCGTGGCTGTGGACCAGCCAAGGTGGAAATGACCCCGCTAGAGACGCCCCTCCAGGGGGGGGGGGGGCAGGGGGGCGTGGAGAGAAAGCCCCGGTGGCATTGCAATGCCACCAGCTACCAGGAGGGGTCAGCACAGCCCCAGAAAATGTCAGTCCCACAGGGGGTGGAGATGGGAGAACCCCTGGCCAGAGGTTTGAGATTCTCTGCAGTGACCAGCCTAAGGAGAGCAGGCAGCACTGGGGTACAGAGCCAGCCCAGAGGGTTCTGGCAGGGGCTGCCACCCGGGTCTTCCACAAAGAAGGGAAGGGTGGTGGCGCCCACCACCGCCTCAACAGTGGCTGACAGGTGCTGGCTCTGGGGAGGCAGCGAGGTGCCCTGGCGCTACCCTGGGTTGGGAGGGAGTCTCCGCTCTGTTGTTATTTTGCTGTGTGCCCCTGGGATGCCCTCAGCCTCTCTGGGCCTCATTGTCTCACAGTGAGAAGTTAGACCAAGGTGGCCTTTCTATAAGTCCTTTCTAGCTCTGACTGTTGTGCTATGTGTGTTTTCAGAAGAAAGAGGCCCCACCCGAGGTTACAGGCCTCCTGCCTCCCCCTTTGGGTCATAAGCCTCCCACCCCAAGCTTAGAAGTCAATTTGGGGCCTCATTATACTATCTAGCCATCACCTCTGGGGAGTCCAGAGGTTGGGATGAGACAGGGATGTCAGCCCCCGGACCAACTATCAAGTCAAGCCCAGGGGCAGCCAGTGTGGAGGCTCCCCAGGCCGCTGCTCCTTCCAAACCTTGTCACCAGCTCACAGGCCATGCCTGCCCTCTCTGGGCCCTTGGGAACAATCTGTGCATGTTCCGTTCCTGCTGTTGTCAGACCCAGAAGGTGAGTGGCCAGAGCGGCGCTGGCTTCAGGTATCTGGGCTTCGGGCTTCGGGTTCGGGCTCACAGGCTGGATGCGCTTCCCTCCTCCCCTCAGCTCCTCCCCCTCCCTTCAGCTCCTCCCCCTCCCCTCGGCTCCTCCCCCTCCACTTGGCCCCTCCTCCTGGAGATGAAGCCAGCCCCCTGCGCTCCAGTCACCACCTCTCGCGCACCCCTCTGCCTCGGGCCCACCCCCTGTCCCCAGCGGGCAGGGACTTGGGCAGCACAGTTGCCATCCTGGGGCCACGGGTCTGTCGCCCTACGGCAGTTGCTGAACCTATGCTGCAGGTCTCTTTCCCCACCCTTGTAACCGAAACCGAGTCAGTCCTTGAATTTCCAAAGGCCCCATAGTCGGGTGGGATGGGGTGTGGGAGCTGCATGGCTCAGATCTGTGGCTGTGGCCAAATTGGGGTCCCGCTCACCTTCTCCGCTTGGGGGCCAGGTGGGCCAGGTGCTCCAGCTTTGCCCGGGAATCCAGGGGGACCCTATATCAACAAAGGAGCAGGCGGGAATGAAAATGGGGCTGGAGGGGGAGCTCCCCTTCCTTCTTCCTCCTGGGTTTGCTTCACTACAGTTAATACGATGCATTTTGATGCATTTTGACTTCCTAGAAACACCACCTAGGAGCTGGCTGGCCTGCTGTGCTGGGGCCCACCCAGGAGGCTCTGCCCTCCAGGTCCTGGCTCCTGGAATCAGGCCTGGCCACCCAGACCGTTCCTCCCATGCCTCTTCCCTCCCCTCCGTCGGCCCATCCTAGCCCAGCCTGGCCTGGTCAGGCCTGCCCCTCCCAAATAGGATCATACAGACAGGGCTGGTTTTGTGTCTTCACTCACCGGTGGGCCGGGAAAGCCTGGCTGGCCTTGAAATCCCTAGGGGAAGAAGCAAGGGACAGTCTGCTGTGCCGCCCACTCTCTCCCTCCTGGCGGCCCCGATGGAAAGAGTGACAGGGTGAGGCTGCCTCGAGCCATGGGGCCTTGCCCTCCACTCTGCCCAAGATGACCAGCAGGTGAAGGTCTAGTCACGAGGTGGGAGGTTACAACTCAAGGACGGGTGAGGGCTGGAGGCTAGAGCTGGTCACCCCTCCACATGTGAGGGCGGCCACCAGGGAGAGGACCTAGCCCTTTCCCTGTGCCCATCCCCCTCTCAGTCCTCCCCCATGATCAGGACAGCTAGCCAGGTCCTGTGGTCACTCACCTGGTCGCCCTTCTCTCCCGAGTTTCCTTGGGGTCCTCGCTCTCCCCGGGGACCCTGTCACCATAGAGAACAAGGCAGCTGGAACCCAGTCTTTCTTCCCCTAGACCCCAGGGCTGGACCAGGACCAGGAGTCCCCACGTCCACAGTTCCTTGTCCCCTCCATCACTCACCGCTGGGCCTGGGGCACCTGGGAGGCCTTCAGATCCTGGTGGGCCCTGGGGACACGAAGGAGCAGACTCAGTCACTCTGACTGGGGGAGGTGGGAGAGCAGGGGATGAGGCAGGGACCAGGGCACAGGGCACAGAGAGTAGATGGGGATGCCGGCAGGACTCCTCCCCCTGGTTGGCTCCAGCTTCCCTTCTCTTGCCTAAGCTATTGAATCAGCCTCTAACTAGTCCTGCCACCTCCTGGCTCACTTCAATCCAGCCAGCAACTGGCTGCCATTTCCTCTTCTCCAGCATAGCTCTGATTGTAACACTCTCTTGCTCCAAAGCCTTCCATGGCTCCCCTCTGTGCAACTGAATGAGGTCCATACTTTCCACCAGTGCTGGGTTTTGAGGCATCCTGTGATCTAGTACCACCCACCCTTTCCTGCTTCACTTCCTTCTCCCCGTCTTATCTTCTGCCTTGCTTGGTCAGACGGCTGTTCGTACCCCTGGGCCTTTGCAGAGCTGCCCCCTCTCCCTAGAATGCCTACCATTCCCCCACCCTTTCTGGGGCTCTTAAAACCTTACCAAGGGATTAGATGGCTCCAATCTCTTCCTGAGGTTCCCCCACCCACTCCCTTTGGGATTCCCCAGGATAGATAACCATGTGCCCTCCCCCACCCCCCACTCTATTCGGGGCTCACGTCCAACAGCACCGTCTCAGAGAGGCCTCCTGATCCTCCTTCTAATAGCACCCTGTACACCAGCTGGCCCCTTACCCTGCTCTCTTTTCTCCATTGCTTTCTCATTTATATGCATTGGCTTATTCATCTGTTATCTACCTCCCTCATTGGAATGTGAGCTCCTGAGGTCAAGAGGCACAGGTGCCTGTTTTCTTCACTGTGGCACCCGCAGAACAGCCTGCCACCCAGAAGGCCCCTGAGGAATGTCTGTTACTGAGTAAATGCACATGGGGTCAGCTACATCCCACCCGGGGCCTCACTAACGTGTGAGGGGAAGGGAAGACTAAGGTTTTGGCAGGTTGGTCACAGAGGGACTTGGGTGCAAGTCCACGCTATGCCCTAACTCACTCACTGACTCGCGGCAGCTTGTTGGGTGAACCATGTCACTTCCTGAGCCTGGGGATAACCTAACTGATGTTATGTCCTCACCTGGTAACAGCCCCCGCCCCTGCGCTCACCCAGCCGGGAAGGGTGGCTCTGGGCTTGCGGATCAGGCCAGGCTCTAAGCTGGGTCTCGGGTCCCCCACCTGCCCTGCTCTGCCCTGCCCGCCCACCTGCTTTTGCAGGGGAGGAGGATGCCTTCCTGCTGGCTGACTCTGCGCCCCCCCCCAACCCCTTGGCAGCCCTGGCCAGCCCAACTCCTTGAAACCCGCTCAGATCCTCCCTCCAGCCTCCCCTCCACCTCCGCGGCAACCAGCCCACACCGCCTGCCTGCGCTGCAGCTGGAGTGACTCAGGGGGCAGGGAAGCGGGGTCAGGTCTCTTCCTTCGCAGGCTGCTGGGAAAGTCTCGGGTGGCCGTGGGGCAGGGACTGCTCCGTTTGGAGCCCTTCCTCCTGCCCCACCACCCTCCCCCCGCCCCGCGCCAAGCCCCGTGACTCACCGATTCTCCCTTCTCTCCTGGGGGCCCGACATAGCCCCGCTCCCCCTTGATGCCCTGACATGCAAGCAGAGAGAGAGCTGAATTAGCCCCGTGGCCTGCTGTCATGGCGCTAATGCGAGGGGTGGAGACTGGCCCAGGCTGGCACTTACAGGCAGATGGCACGGAGGGCAACGGCTGGGGGAGGAGGAGCGGGGCTGCTCCCCACCCGCCACCGTGGCGCCCAGTGGAAAGCGGGGCTACGCCCACCCAGCAGCCTCCAGCCTGGGGTGGGGGGGGTAGGGAATAGGCTTCCCGTGGTCTCCCCACCTCTCCTAGCCCCCCCGCTGGGAGGCAGAACTCAGTCCTGGGGTCTGGGTGCTCGGAGAGTCTGGCCCTCCCGGTGCAATGGCTGCAGGCGACCTCCGAAGTGGAGTGGCAGGGCCATGCTGCACTACCACAGGGGCTTTGAGGAGCCCTGCATGGACGGACGGGCAGACAGCCTGGCAGAGGCACAGGCTGAAATGCTTGGAAGGGAGGGAGCCTGCTGGGGGATGCGCCAGCCTGGCCCTGTCCTCACCCCCACCCCCAGGCTCTGCTACCCCCAGAGCCAGCATCCCCTTACTCACGGGCAGTCCTGGGGGGCCCATGGCACCTGGGTAGCCAGGTTGCCCTGGAGGACCCTATAGAGAAAGGGAGACATTATGGACCAGCCCCCCAATGTTTCCGTTTCCCCCTCCCTGGGCAAAGAGCAGCGGTAACCAGGACGCCTGAGCTGCCAACTGAGCAAGCACACGCCCATCCTAGGACAGCCACCACCTTGGGCCAGCTCCCAAAGGCCCAGGTTCCTCTGGCTGAGACCACCACCACAAGCCTAGGACTCAGGGACACGTGCCTGCCTGGCCAGGACCTGGGAGCTGAGCCAGAGGAAAAGGCCCAGAGCAGGGAGGATGAGGGTGGGAGTGGGGGAAATGGGGCGTGGAAGGGGCCGCAGGAGGACCCTGGGAGAAGAGTCCCCAGGGCACTGCTGGAAGCCGGGGGGGTGGGGCAGGGCTGTTCGCCCCTTCTAGGGGGTTGGGGCACAGGGAGATCAGCCTCCTTTGATCCCGAGGGGGTGTGAAGACCCCCGATCTGAGGGATCAGGGGTAGTGAGTTTCAAAAGGAATCCACCTCCCATCTTCCACTCAGCAGCCATCCCCGGGGGCCCCACCTCTGCCTCCCCAGGGCTCCTCATCCATCGCCTTCCCCTGCCGGCCCCCCTTACCGGTTCCCCCTTCTCTCCTGTCAGGCCCCTGAGGCCTCGCTCTCCTTGAAGACCCTTGGAGAGAAAAATCATGAGAACCTGCCGGGGAGGGCTGTCCCCACCCAGCCCCCAGCTCCTTTTGCCTGCTCTGCAGCCTTCTGTCCCCAGTCCAGGCAGAGCTGGGAATCACTGATGCCCCCCCCCATTAAGGTCCCCAGCAAGGTGACCGTGGGATGTACCCCAGAAGGGTAACTGTGAGAGTTGTAGACTCTCACACAGGGGTGCCTCTCAAGAGCATACCCCCAAGACAGGTCACTATGGAGATATGCCCCCCCCCGGGTAGGGGACCCTCAGAGGGAACCGCTCAGGCAGGTGACTGTCACTGATGTGCCCTACTTCAGTAAGTGGCAGGGGTGTACCTTCAGGAGTTTGACACGTGTGTGCTCCCCTGAGGGGCAACTGTGAGGAGAGGTATCCCTACAATGATGTTCCTCGACCAAAATGTATCACTGGATAGTCAACACTTACCTGTACCCCACCCCCAACCCCCAGCCACAAGTCACCTCCTTTTAGGGATGCAGGGGAGAGACATGGGCAGGCCCCCAGAGCAGACTGCTCCCTCCAGAGCCGTCCCTGTCACTTTTTAGGGTGGAAAGGGAGATCGCTTTCAATCAAAGCCAGAGCCCCCCACCCCTCAGTCCTCACCCTGACTTTTGTGGATTCGCCACGGCGTTAAGGGGCTCTGTCTGCCCCTTCTCCCTTGTGCCCTCAAGAGATGATGCCCAAATCTTTCCACAACACAAGACAGATGGCTAGACGGACAGATGGCCCCTTCACCCAAGCAAGCAGAAACAGACAAGGTCCGGCCAGGGTGAGGACGTGGGGACAGATGGAGCCATGACAAGGAGGGGCCCCGCTCCCTGAGCCTCCACCGCCAGGCCTGGGAGGACAGGAGCCAGGCCCCCAGGAACACCAGATCTGACAAGCAGGAGGTTAGTTTCTGTGACCCAGGAGGGAGCAACAGTGAGGATGGGGATGATTTAAACACACTTGTGACGATGACGCAGGCAGAGCAATTAACGACACCTGGCGGAAGGAGCGGGTCACGGCACTGGGCACGGGGGTGCCGGGCCCCACGACACCCAGAAACCCAGCTGGCTGGCATCACACGCCCAGCCTTGGGGCAGCAGACGGGGCCCGGAGCCGAGGAAGAGAGGCAGAGGAGGAAGCTGTGAGGTTCCTCTAGGACGACGGGCAAGGTGTAAGCATGGCTACCTTCAGATCCCTGGGGTGCCCCGGGACGGCCCTGCCAAGCAGCGGGGCAGCAACGTGTGCCAGCCCGCAATGTGGAGCCCTGAAGCTCTGGCATCTCTGCCGGGCTCTGTGCCAGGGGCCTGGCGGGGCCCCAAGAATTACTTCCAGCAAATCTTCAAGTCAACAGCAAAGGTGGGAGAAGCAGAAGGCAGAAGTGAAAAGGGAGGAATCAAGAGGCCCCTGGAGGCACCAGCTTCAAATAAGAAGGTGAAACAGCTCTGAGGCCTGGGGGCGGGGGGAGTGATGTGGGTTTGGGGGAAGAGAAAAAGGAGATTGTAGGTGCGGGGCGGGGAAGAGAAGATGAAAGAAGCAGGAGCAGAGGGAGAAAGGAAAAGGGAAAGAAGTCCGAGACTTGGGAAGATGTCCAAGCCGCTAGGACCACAGGGAACCCGTGTCGTTATGTGCCTGCAGGGGGACAAAGACAAACATGGAGGAGGGGGCGAGGGCTCCACAGGAAGGGAGACAAGCAAACGCCACAGAGACCTGGCTGGCAGGGGGAGGGGAGGTCAAGCAGCACTAGGTTCTTACAGGCAATCCGGGGGAGCCAACAGCACCAGGAAAACCTGGGGGGCCCTGGTGGGAGAAACAGGCAGGTCACAACTCAGAGGCATAGTAACCCTGGGCATCGTCTGGGGCAGGGGGGCATGGAGAGAGGAGGTCACAGGATTATTTCCAAGGCGGCTGGAAAAGAGACTCATTGAAGACACCCACTCCTCCCCCTTGGCTCCAGGAAGAATGGCTCGAACCATCAGCAGAGATGAGAAACAGTCCCCAGAGTCCAAGGGCCCTGGCCGAGTGCTCCCGAGTCCCGCTGGACACCCTTGGTGGAGTGCAAGCCCATCGTGCCTGCCACATGACCTCCAGATGCCCCCAGCTGGGTGGCTCCCACCAGCCACCTGTTCTCCAAAGAAAGCATTTTCAGTTCTTCCAGTCTTTCCGGGGCACTTCTGGTTTCCCGCCATAGCAATGCCATGGAGGACTCCAGGGGGGGCATCCCTGGCCTGGCCTTTGTAGATCTGTCCTAGAGATGGCCCTACAGAGCGACGCAGGGCTGTTCCGTCTTAGGCCCCAGCCCAGTAGCGACTGGTGGCGTGGAGGCATGAAGAGATTTGGTCGGGTTGCCACATACTTTCCTGGCAGCCAAGACCATGAGCCAGAAGCCTAGGCCCTCCCGCCAGGGGAGCCTGGGTCCACTGTGCGGGACACTGTAGGGATGGGGATGGGGAGCCAGGGGTGTGCCCTTGAGGGCCTCCCTGAAGCAGGACCACCAGCAGAGCGGAACAGAGCAGACCAGTTCCAGGGGCTTGGGTGGTGGGGTCCACAGTCCCCACAGATGCTCTGATGAGGGAAAGGGGCAGGTGGTAGAATTTCCCTTCTTCTGCCCTGACCAGCTTCCTGGATACAAGGCAGCAGAATGGAATCTGGGCGTTACAACCCCTTCGAGAGCTTCTCAAGTGGGCCAGGAAACCACGGATACTTACAATAGGGCCTGGAGGACCTGGGGAGCCCCTCATGCCAGGCGGACCCTGTAAAGGAAGCCAAGGGAAATGGAGGGAGAGGCTCAGGCCCCACAGAGCCCCAGGGTCTCTGCTGCCTTCCTCCCAGCTCACCACTGCCAGATCCACAGAGGGCGGGGGATGGCAAAGCAGGGCCATTTTAGCTGAGGTTAAACCTTTCATTCAGCCCATTCAATCATCCAACAAACATTTACTGAGCAGCTATTATGTCCCAGGCACTAGTTCAGGTGCTGGGGACACAGTAATAAACCAAACATAAAACTCCCTGACGTGTGGCACTGATGCTCTAGGGGGAGAGGTGGGCAGTAACAAATAAAACCGGGGCTGGCGCATGGTGCTCAGTAGATGCATGTGGAATGTTCCCAAATGAAGAAATACACGGTCTTCAGAGGGTGACACGTGCACTGCACGGAAGGGACTAGGGGTTCTAGGGGTGGTGTGGGGGGGTCAGTTTCTCCGAGAGGCCAGGGAAGGTCTCCCTGAGAAGGTGATATCTGAGCAAAGGGTGGAAGGGGCAAAGGAACGAGCCCCGGAGAAGAGCTGCGGGCAGAGGGAGTGGCTGGCCGGGGCGGAAAAGGTCCCCTGGGCCGGGAGCACCTGGTGTGCCAGCAGAGCGAGGGACTCCCAGCCATGAGAGGCGCCAGGTGACCTGAGACTTGGAGGTCCCCAAAGGACTCCCAGGAGACAGGGAGCCACCAGAGGGCCCGGGAGGACACTGGGCAGGAACGAAACTGCCCCCGAGAACTGAGGGCCACTTGCATGGAGACACTGGCCCCCTTGGGGTGCTGCCCGGACGAGGGAGGGTCTGGCCCTGGTCTTACCTCTTCTCCTCTCTGGCCAGGCAGCCCTGGAGGACCGGGCAGGCCGGGGCTCCCAGCACAGTCTGGATCCCCCTCGCCGCTGTCTCCCTGGAGAGGGATGGAGTCGGTGAGCTGAGCAGCCAGGGCCCTCCCTGTGGGGCCCGGGACACAGGCGAGCAACGGGCATGGGGCCACTCACCCGGGCCTCCTCAGCTCTTGGGCGCTCCCGCTCTGTGAAGCACTGAGGGGGACAACAGGAGGCCCTCCATCAGGCGAGGCACCGGGCGCTGTGCCCACACCAGGCCAGCCCGGAGCCCAGCCCCCTACCCGGGCACAGCTGTCCAGGCCTGGCACGCCGGGGATACCCTGGTCTCCCTTCTCGCCTTTTTCCAGGAGTGCAACTGGGTGGGCTGTCTGCCCCTGGACACAGTCCCTGCACAGGCTCTGACGAGAGAGGAGAGGGCAGCGGGGCATGGGTCCCAGAAGGCCAGGGCAGGCCGAAGGGGGAACCCCACTCTGAACTCAGCCAGGGCGCCCCGTCCGTGCTTTCTCTCTCTCTCTCTCTCTCTCTCTCTCTCTCTCTCTCCCCGGCCACATCCCTGCGGCAGCTTTGCTCCATCCTCAGGAGACCCAATCCCAACACTGGCTTTGAGTTTCCTCCAGGAAGCAGCTCTGTGGGGCCAAGCCAAAGCCACTTTCCAGACAGGCGCGTGGGAGGAGGCGGAGGGGCCCACAGAGGGACCATCTGTCCCGGCTGTTCCTGCAACCTGCCCCCACTGTGAGGACACGCCACGAGGATTTGGGCTGAAAAGGCCTGCTCCAAACACCAGCTTCTCCGCCCAAGGGAGCAAAGGAGTAGCTGCAGGAGGAGCTAGGCCCTTTGTAGACACCCTCCGGGATGGGGCTTGCCCTCCTGCCCCAGCAGATCCCGACTGTCACAGGCTCCCCCGTTCGCCCATCCATGGAGGGATGTCCCTGGACCCCTGGGCAGGAGCCCCTGCTCCACGGTCATTGTTCACTGCCCAGCCCAGGGATAATGGTTGGCATTGACTCAGCACCCACGATGCCAGCCATTGTAATAGGCCTTTGCACGTGATCACATTCACTCCTGACTGTGCAATGAGGCAGGTAATCTTGCAAGCATTCTGGAGATGAGAAAGCCAGGCTTCCTCTGGGGTGCCTTCTGACTCCTTCTCCAGACCACACTCGGTTCCAGTTTGGGGTCCTCCACAGAGCACTTGGTTAAGAGGCTGTCAGATGACATGTGGCACAGAAACATGCCAAATCCTGCATTTGGGGTCATGCAATCCCGTGCCCAGGGGCAGGACTTGGGGGATCCCCAGCTTGCCAGGAGCCTCAGGGAGAAGAACTGGGGTTTCACTGCCACACTCCGCTGTGATCCAACCTGTAGCAGCTGTCAGGAGGTTAACCCGACTGCAAGCTGCTTCTGCAGACAACTGCTGTCCAGAGCGGGGGCAGGGCAGGCAGTCCCAGGCTCTGGCCTGACCGGGACCCACAGGGGAAGTGGGAGGTCCGGGGCACTGGCTAGCCAGTACTTCAAGGGGGTGACTGGGATAAGGGGGCTCTGGAGGGGCCCCAGAGGATGCTAAGCTGGAGGAGAGGAGAATCCAGGTCTTGTCTCCAGAGGTGACTGAGCAAGGGAGGCCAGACCAGGCCAAAGCCATCAGTGTGATCTTGATGCTATTGGCAGCACTGGCAAGGGCCGACCCTGCCAGGACCCCAAGTCCCCTCCCCTGCACCACTAGAACTGCTCCTGAAATCCTGTCTCCTCCCTGGATTCTTTCTGGATTGTCCTCTGGTCAATCTGCCCTTCTTCCGGGCCCCCAACCCAGTCCCGTCAAAGAACATAAGTAACGTCCACAGCTCCCTGCCTGACGACTCAACTGCACTTTCACCCTCCGCTCTGTTCTAGAAGCTACTAGACCCTGCCCTGGTGTGACCAAGGTGGTACAGGGCCTCACTGGTGGCTCCCAAGGGCAGGCTTTGGGGCAGGAACTGCCCACAACATCCACCATGGGGGTACCTAGGCAGGATCCCTTCAAACACTCATTCAGCAAGGTTGGAAGGACCGAGGGTCTGTTACTCGCCAGGCACCATGCTAGGCCCTGTGTGCCGCTTGGAGAATGCACATTCCCCGCAACCAGGTCCCGTCTGCAGCTCTCCCTGTGCAGCTCTCCCTGTGCGGTGCTGAGCACATCCTACAACGATCCCCTTAGGGGGCTTCTCTCCTTCTCTCCCTCCTCCTTCTCTCTTACCCCCTTACCTTAAGGAGGTGCTGTTCAATTGGTAAGGATCCCTGCAGGAGATAAGACAGGAGGGCTCAGGCAGGTGAGGGGGAAGGGGGACGGAGACTTACGGGATCAGGTGGAGCCTCAAGGAAGCCACATGCCACCCTGGCTTCTCCCCGCCTCGCAGGAGGGAGGGAAGAGGGCCCCCACGGCAGCTAAGGGAGCTGGCACGGCCAGCTCAGCCCTGGGAAGGGCAGGGAGGGGGCTGCACGGTGACCCAGGCTGGTACCTACCAATTCCGCAGTTAGCCCAGGCTGTCCGGGCAAACCGGTGTTTCCAGGCACTCCCTGCAGCCAAGAAGAGATGTGAGTGAGTGGACTCTTCTCTGGAGCCGAAGGCCACCCTGCTTCATGCCCACCAGCCCCCCTGCCCCTTCCCTTCCTGCAGCACCGAGAGCCCAACGGGTGCAAGGCTGGTGTCCATGCTTAGCTCAAAATCTCCAGACTGTTTGTGGGGAAGGCTGAGGAGGCCCAGAAGGGTGACCCCTAAAAGCAGTCCAACAGGAAGTTTTTCCCACATGTTAGAGGAAGGTCAGAAATCGGGCAGAGGAGCTTCTACATAGTAACTACGTTTCTTTTTCCATTTCCTATCTAATCTCCCTGAGTCACGGTGCTCTTGGTGAGTTAGGTGTATCACCCCCAACTTAAAAACAGAACAGAGAATTCAGAGAGGCTAAGTAACTTGCCCAAGATCACAAGATGAGCAAAGTGCAGAGGTGAGATCCAGAGTCAGGACCACTGGCTCCAATCCCCTCTCTCAACCACGATCCCAGCACCTTCCTCAAAAGACATTCCCCAGAACACCATGTACACAGCAAGGTGGAGGCTTGGGAGCCAGACCTATGCAGGTGCGAACTCTGACTACCTGGGTAGCGTCTGGCAGCTTACTTGGAAAAAAAAAAAAAATTTCTGTGTCTCAGTTTCCTTATCTGTGAAACAGGGATCCTCTATGGTGAAGCGAAGAGGAGACCATGACTGTGAGGAGCTCAGGTGAGGTGTTTCCACCCAGACTCCCTGTGGCCCCTGCAGGCTCACGATGCACATTTGCATATTAAATCCCCCCACGGGGGCCGGGAGCATGTTCCCTTTTCAATCCCCAGTGCCTGACACAGAGGAGGCATGCATTAAATTAGCTCAGAGTGAACACACTGCTGCACACCCTGCTCTCCCCGCCGGGGACTTCCTTGGCCCGTTCTGAGAGCTGGCCTCCCTTCAAGTCCTGGCTCCCAGCGACAGAACACGGCCACCTTCCCCTGCGAGCCTGTCCTGTTCCAGGCCAGGCTCTACCAAGGCCCGAGGCAGACTGGAGGCAGTCTCCCTCCCGCAAGTTCCGGTACCAGTCCTTCTGCATCCTGAGGGAGTTCACAGGGTAATGTGCTTAGGATAGTCCCCCGCGCAGGGAAAACGCCTTGAACCTGGTCGTTATCCTTATGCACCTAAATTATGCCTCCCCCCCCACCACCACCGCCGCTCCGGTTGCTATCGCCCGTGTGTCAGTTCAAGCCTGATACTCGGTGATTTTCTTTCCCTGCCCTCCTGGAACTAAATGTCCCACCTGTTGTCCTACCAAGAGCTACCCACTCACCGGCTACTAACTACATAGCCTCAGGCACATTGCTTGACCTCCCTGCCTCAGTTTCCCCTTCTGGGAAATGGATGATTACAGGAGATTTCATTACTTGGCAAAGAAATGCCGTCTATCTCTGGGCCCGTTTCTGAGCCTGAAGACGAGGAGCTGCTGGGCCCTCCCTTCCTTGAAAGGACTACAGGGTCCACCTGGCGAAGAAGAGCTGTATCTTGCCTGGCACGGGGCAGGTGCCTATTAGTGGCAGCCTTGGCTTGGTCTCCAGCACTGGTACCGGGCGAGGACTCTGGTGCCTGGGACCAGACTCTGCAGTCACTCTTTTCTGCCTTGTTCCCTCAACATGTCTTGGCAGGGTTCACACTCTATCAGCGTGTTAATGGGTCACTTTGAAATGACTCTCATGCTTCCCCAAGCAAACTGCAAGACCCCTGCAGACAGATTCCTGTTTCCTGGTGGTACAGCAGGAGGCTGGGACACTTGGTAAATGTGTGGTTGGCCCATGGGGGACTGAGAGTTGGCTCTAGTTCTGAGCTCTTGATGAGACAGAGAGAATTGGATCCCGGCAGAGACTCCCATCAGCAATGGGGACTCACCAGAACAGATTCTCACCCCAGGGAGGCAGCGGGGGATGTATAAAATCTCCGGGGGTGGGGGGAATAGTTTGTAAAAAGCTTCCATGTGATTCTGCTCTGCTTCTTCAGGAGCTGGGAGCCAGACATGCAGAAGCCACTGTCTGTCCCTCCTAGGACCTTCAGAGAACAGGGCCTGGTGTGCATGCCGCTGGGGAGCTGTCCTGCAGGGCAGCGGCAGGGAGGAGAAAATGCCGGGCGCTGGGGAAGCCCAGTCCCGCGCTAATTCCGAGCCGGATGACCTCAGACAAGATACTTCACCTCTCGGAGCCCGTGTGCCCAGCTGAGACTTAGGGAGAACACCATCTGCCTATCGGAGTTGACATGAGACTCCCATGAACAAGAGGATGGATATAAAATAATCATAGTCACCAGCCTAATGATGGCTAATGCCTTCTAAGCATTTACTATGTGCCAGGCATGGCTCTACACATTTCACATGCATTAACTTGTTTAAAATTCACAAAAGCCCCATGAGGTCCGTGCTATAATTATAGCCACTTGACAGATGAAGGAACCGAGAGACGGAGAGGGTAAGGAACTTGCCCGGCACCGCACCACGAGCACCTGGCAGAGCTGGGATGCAAAGGCAGGCTGATGGGCTCTGGAAGGCACTGTCTCAGCACAGAGCCACATGGACCTCCACTCCCACGGCTCTCCCCTCACTGTCTCTGGCCTCCCTGCTATTCCCCCAACTGTCGGGCACAGTCCCACCCCCAAGGCTTTGCACCTGCTGCTTTCACTGTCAGGAATGCTCTCCCTCATGGGCTTACTCACTCATTTCCTCTAAGTCTGGATTCTTTCCAGTGCTCTTCTTGAACATCTTCCTTGCCCTCCTCCCACTTTCTGACCCCACGCCCTGCTTTCTCTTCCTCCTTCCTCCTTGCATGAATGAATGTTGCACGCTGCTCCAAAACAGGGGAGCGCCATGCCGGTGTAAGGGATTGTTTGGTCCAGATCCTGGGTTCCTGACCAAGGCCTGACCTTAGCCTGAGCTTGGCCCGGGTGTCAGTAGGGTGCCTGGGCCAGCACACAGCAGAGCATTCCTCAAGAAAGGGCTGGGACTGCCCACGACCTGCCCTAAGGGATCAGTGGGCGCCCCCCATGTCGCTCTGGGGAGCAGGAACCTAGAGGAGTGAGGCTGGCACGCACAGGTGTTGGGCCACCTGTGTGGGCCAGCACAGAGCCCCAGCCCTGCCTCCCCGCCACCCTGCTTTCCAGACTCCCATCCTCTCCTCCCCCTTTACCTGTAGCCCGGGCATTCCAGGAGGGCCAGGTGGTCCGGGAACACCTGGGGGACCCTGAGGGAGAGGAGAAGTAATCAGACCCCAAAGAAAGCTCTGTCCCACTGCTGGGGGCAGCAGCATTAGGGTGGGCAAGCCGTGGGGCGCTGGCGGACAAGTGGAGAGACAGAGGAGACAAGCGACACACACCTGCGGGCCCGGCTGCCAGGAGCTGCCCATCCAAAGTCCCGGAGCACCCTGGGTGGGAGTGGGGGTCGCAAAAGAAGGGAGAGGTTATAGGCAACGTCCACACCAAGCGCAGGGCTGCATGGGGAGGCAGCTGGCTAGGACGCAAAGCCCTGTGGGGCCCGCGCATGTTGAGCCAACGCAGGAAGCCAGGCCTCTCCCCCGGCTGGGGGGAGGGCTCTCAGCGCCACTTACCGGCATGCCAGAGAAGATGGGGTCCCCTCGAGAGGGGCAGGAACACTCCCCTGGCTCACCCTGAAAAGACAAGAGCTTTTGTCAGAGGGGGGCGAGGATGGAGGACCTTCCGGAAGCCAACATCTGGGAGGCAGCACGGGCTGTAGGATGGAGAGGCCAGGGTTTAAATCCAGGATCCGCCTCTTACGAATGTGCCCTTGGGCAACCAGTTCAACCTCTCGAGTCTCCGTGTCCTCATCTGTAAAATGAGGGTAATAGCACCAAATGCATAGACTGTCAGGAGGGTGGACTGGATGAACGTACACAGAGTCCCTGCCACATGGGAGGCCCTTATGCCCCCAAGGGCTGGATGTTGCTGCTATTCCTGTCGGTTTGGGTTCAGCGTCTGCTGCCGCACAGCTGTTCTGCCTCCCGGACGCTTGAGGCTTGGCCGCTGCCGTCCCGCTCCCCTTGGCCTGGCCCAGTCCCCCACGTCTCTGCCCTCTCACCACTGGTCCTCTCCAACTTAGCGCCTGCCCCAGCCTCTGACTCAGGCCCATCTGCAAATGCAGCTGCCCCCGTGGGGCCCTTGGGGCTCTCTGGGTCGCCTGGGATCCTGGTTGTGCCCTGGGCCAGCAACCAGGTGAAGTGAGAAGTGTTCGGGGCCCCTGCTTCCTGGAACCAGGGGGCTGGTGGTAGCAAGGAGACCAGGATGACTCCTCAGCTTCTGTCCTCCAGTCCAGAGTATAGGTTCCCCTGGGGGCGGGGCTCCTGGGGCGGTTTATTTCCCCCCCAGTATTGGCCACAGGGCCTTGGGACTCACCTTCTCTCCCTGAGGTCCCTTTTCACCCTGCAGGGAAGAAACACAGCGAGGTGAGTAGATAGGGGTGTGGAGGCACGAGGCCGTATCTTCCTGCTGTCCTGAGACGCTGTACTCACCGGCATCCCTCTGGCTCCTGGAGGGCCACTTTGTCCTTGCTGCCCATCCGGGCCCTGAGGGGAGAGAGCCCAGGGTCAGAGGCGAGCCTGGACTGCAGCCAGCCGCGTGGCCCACGTGCAGGGGAGGGCGATAGGAGAAGCAGAAGCCGGTGTCCCAGTGGCCCTGTCCTCAAGGAGGGGGCTCTGGCACAGGAGACGAGGAGCGGAGGAAGCAGGAAGACTGGCACTTCTTCCTGGGTGTCGGACACTGGGCCAAGCGCCGGTCCGACGACACTGAGTGGGATCCCCCCTCCCAGCCCTGCAGGATGGCACTGTTCTGTTTGACAGGTGAGGAAACTCAGGCTTAAGGAAATTTCGTAACAGACCCCCCAGCACGACTGCACCAGCTACAGGCGGCCCGAGGCGCCTGCTCTCTCCCTGTCGGTCCCTTTCATGCTTGACACACATTCTATCACAAAGGTTATCTCAGATGACTTAGCAGGAGAAAGGAAATTTCTGCTCTTATTTTCTCACCGAGGATTTGGAGACTCTGAAAGGCTGTCACTTGCCCGGGGTCACACAACTAGCACTGCGTGTGGGGCTGAGATTGGAAAGCCTCCTGGATGGGGTTCGGCCTGAGGGAGGAAGGTCTGGAGAAGTCCACCGGGCCACACAATGGCATTCTGATGGCCGCCTTTCTGTGGGCTCTGCCACCTTCACACTAGGGACTCGAAAATCCATAAGGACCAGGACCGCCTTTGCCTTTAACCTCTGCCTTTCCCCTGGGGCTCCCTGGGACAGGCTGGGACCCTGACAGTCCAGCTCCAGTGGCCCATACAGACTGGCGGTGTGGACGTGGGCAAGGCGCTGGCCCCTCTGGGCCTCCCTGCACCCTCGGGAGGACTCTATCAGTGACTGCCAAACTGGAACTGGAATTTCTCTGGGGATCCGTAAAGATAGAAAAGGTCTCTTTCACTGGGCTCTTTTCCCCATTACCAAAAGCCCAAGAAAAATTACACATTTGCCCACGACCCAGCATGGCACAGCCTGGCTGAAAGGTAGCATTTCTTTGATTTTGGCTAGAATTATACCATCTTGTAAAATTCTAGTGGGTTCGTGTGGAGCGGAAGCTATTATACAGGTATTTGATGAATGAAAATGAGGAAATGCACTTATTATTACTTAATCTCTGCAATTTGTTGAATAGACACATCTTTTAAAGCATGGGACTCATTGGTGGGATAGTCATAAAGAGAGGTCTTTGAGGGTAATGAGGTTGGAAGTGTTGCTGGTCTAGAGAGATCTGTGCTGTCCAGTAGGGTAGCCCATAGCCACATGTGCTTATTTAAATTTAAATTAATTAAAATTAAATGAAATTTACAATTTAGCTTCTGAGTTACACTGGCCACAGTTCGGGTGCTCAATAACCATATGTGGCTTGGGCAGAGGAGAAGAGAACATTTCCATCCTTACGGACAGTTCGATGGGGCAGCGCTCATTTAGAAGATACCCCCAAAGCCCGAGATTTGAAGTGGGGGCGGGTGAGTTCACATACGTGCTTTGAGTCAGACAGACCTGGGTTCAAGTTCTGACTTTGCCTCCTCATTCTCTGGCCTTCAGCTTTCCTCATCTATGAAACAGGGACAAGAACAGCCATTCCCTTACAGGGCTATTGGGAGGTTTAAGCGGATCTCTGTGGGTCTAGAGCTTAGCACCAGGCTCAGCAGTCACTGCTCCCAGAATGGTGGCCATCAGTAACGTCATTAGTCAGGTGCCCCCGTCCAGACAGTGTGGTCTTCTTTCTCGGAGGCTGGGCTTTTCTCTTCCCATCCCCCATGCGGCCAGGCCCCAGCGGGGTCAGCCCTGTGCCCTCTTCCCAGCAGTGAGAGCCTTGGCCCCAGCAGGCCTCCAGCACAGAGCGCAGAGAGGACCCTTACCGGAGGCCCAGAGACACTGGCACCAGGGGGACCCATAGGCCCAGCAGCTCCTTTCAGTCCCGGAGACCCCTGGGGAAGAGAGGACACGGAGGCTACAGGGGCAATCAGGCAGGTGGGACGCATCAGACCAGGTCTTGGGTGGCCCTGTGGCGGGCATGTCACAGGTCCCCTGTCCCCTGTCCCCTGAGCCAGGGCACTCCAAAGCACCACAGGGCTAGTGCCTGACGAGGCACAGACGCACCTTGACGCCCTTCTCTCCAACGGGTCCAGGTGGCCCCCGAGGTCCTGGAAGTCCCTGCAGATGGAAGCACAGTTAGTTAACCCTTATCCTAAAGCGGCCCCTTCCCACCCACCGCCCCCAGCCTCCTCTAGGCCCAAAGCAGACATACCTGAATGCCAGGCAAACCCTGGACTCCAGCTTCCCCCTGCAAGTCAGAAAACACAGCCTGGGCCACAGCTGCCCAAGCCAACCTGTCCCACTGGCACACCTGGTCTGGGGTGGGGTATATACCAGCCGAAACTCAAGAGAGCTCCCCAGGAAGACTGTGAGGGTGAGAGAGGCAGAGGGCCAAGCCAAGGTCCTCTACAGAAGTAATGGCAGACCAGGGCTGCTGACCAATTCCTTACCCCAGAGCTGTGCCCTTGAGCATTTCAGAGCAGGCAGGGCTCTGTAGTTTTAGGGGTAGATAGGAGTGGGCAGCTGGCTAATGGAAGTGTTGGGAGCGCTGGGGGGCAGGTAGGCAAAGGTAAGGCTAAAAACTCACCTGGGGCCCTTGGACTCCCTTTCCTGGAGGCCCGGGCTCTCCCTGAAGAGGCAGAGGGACAATCCTTGGCTTGAGATTCCCCACTCACCCTTAAAACCTCCTACCCCAGGCTCTTCCCCTTAACATTCTTACTTCCACCTTCTCCCTACGCTGTAGCCCGTCTTCCCTACTCCAGGCCCTATGCCCCCATGTATCTGCCCACTCCTACCCTCATCACACACCCGCAGCCCAGGTTCCCCATACGCACACATACCTGGGTGCCCTTCAGTCCTGGGGGCCCTTGAACTCCAGGTAGACCAGGCTGGCCCTAAAAGATACAAGTGGCCCATGGGATCCCGCAGGGGAAAGGGTGTAGGTGGGAGAGAAGGCAAAGCTCAGGCAGGGAAAGACCAGAGGGCAGGCAGCCGGAACTCACCGGTTTACCAGGCCGGCCCACACCTTCTGGGCCCGGCTCTCCTTTGGGGCCCGGCTTCCCAGGCAGTCCCGCCGTGTTCGTCACTGCCCCCTGCAGGCTGGGACAGGCAGTGCAGCCATCACCCTGGTCAGAGATGGGCACAGCCAGGAGCCCTGAGCCAGGACTGACAGCAGGGCCAGGGGGAGGCCTCAGAAAGGGAGTCCCTGTGCCCCTCTAAGAGCTCTGCCCCTCCACCGCCCCCACCTCAGTCTGGGAAATCACCACTCCTTGCTCTTCTCCCTGCCGTGGAGAAGAGCTGAGGCATCCCCACCCAGGGACTCTGGTATTCTGTAAGGCTCACAGTCTGACTCTGCCGTCCTTCACCTCATTAACTCTCAGCCTGATTTCTTTTGGTCCATGCAACAAAATGCCCTCTGCCCGACTGACCTTTTTTCCTTTGGGGCCCATGGGGCCCCGAACCCCCGGCTCTCCCGACAGTCCCGGCTGCCCCGTGGTGCCTGGCACTCCAGGATCTCCAGGATTGCCAGCATCACCCTGTAAGGAGTAGGGGTCAAGGAGGGCAGACCCAGCCCCGGGAACTAAAGGCACTCGGAGCCCTTCGCTGGGGCTGGGGGCTGCACAGGGAGTGGGGAGAGGGCACAGGGCCATCAGGAACACGAGATGGAAAGCTCATCAGACAGGTGGTGCCCCCACCCATGCCCACAAGGTTCTCACCTTCTGCCCCTTCAGTCCACGCTCTCCAGCCTTGCCCTGGGGAGAAAGCATTTCTAGCATCCATTCACTCACAGCAGACACCCCTAAGTGTCCAGCACGGTGTTAGACCCAGGGAATACAGCAGTGTGCAAAACAGACCACAATCCCTGCTCTCGTTCTAGGGAAGCGATACTGTATAGATGCAGAGAAGAGACAAGCCAGAGTCCTGCCTCGGTGACCCTGGGCAAGTTACTTAATCTCTCTGTGACTCGGTTTCCTTATGCATCAATGGGGATGATAAAAATGGCACTGGCCTCTATCCTGCGGCGTCCCTGTGAGGCTAGACGCACCGGGCCGTGGGAAGCAGCGCGCCGCACAGAGCGAGCCCTATGCCCACGCTCGCCGCTCTCAGTGAAACGGTAACAATAATGGGCCCGCGGCAGCCATCGCTTCCTGGATGCCTATTGCGGCCGGCGGGGTGCTTCACGCACAGCATCCCGGGGCTTTCCAACAACGCCACGTGGAGGAAACAGAGACATGGAGAGGAAAAATAACTTGCTCGAGTCAAAGAGTGAGTGAAAAGGCAGCGCTGGAGTTTGAAGCCAGGCCCGTCTGGTCCCAAGTCAGTGCTCTGTGCGCCCTGCCAGGAGGAAGGGCTGAGGCCCCTGAGGCCAAGCTCCTCTGGGGACAGAGAAGCACTGACGTTTCCATACACTCCCACCTACTCCCCGCTGTCCAGGGAGCCAAGCGACCCAGGCCGGGGTCCCTCCCCTCCTCTGAGCCCTGCCTGCAACAATGCGGGAACCCACCTGTTTTCCTGGCAAGCCATAGCCTGGAGGCCCAGGCTCTCCCTTCTCTCCAGGAGGGCCAGGCAAGGTCACCATGTAGCTGTCCCCATCCTGAGGCCTGGACAGGGCTGGGCATGGCTCACAAGGCTCCCCCTGCCAAGCAAGGACACGGGGTCGGGGTCGGGGGGAGATCCCAGGCCAGGCCTGGGATCTGGGGTCTGGGGAATTGAGCTGGGCCTGACACAGCATCTCTGCTGGGCAAGGGATAGCTCAGGAGAGATTGTGGGAGGACAGGTAAGAAATGAAGGTGGGGGCGACATCATTAAGGTCTCGAATGCCATGCTACGGGGCAAGATGTTACCCTCAGGCAGTGGGGAGCCTCGACGGGCTGGAACTAGAGCAAGTGTGTGCTGAGGAAGTTCACCCTGGCTGCAGCGTGGAGAACGTCCCCAGACTCACCTTCTCCCCTTTGATGCCTGTGAGTCCCACTGGCCCTGGTGGGCCCTGTGTGATTGAAAAAAAAAAAAAAAAAACAAGGCATGTGTGAGGCCCGGCACCTGCCTGGGCTATGCTGGGCACAGTCCGGGTCTGCTGCCCCTCCCCCCCTCCGGCAGCAGGCAGCACCTCCCATGTTTCCTTCTCCCCAGAGCATTACCCACCTGCCGGCCGGCTGGCCCTGCCTCCCCAAAATTCCCCTGGAGCAAAGCAGAGAACATAGGGTCAAAGTGAGGCGGCATGACAGGTGCTGGGTCAGTCCCAAACCACAAACCACAAAAGTAGCCACCTGTGAGGACTTCTAGACTGACTACCCCTCTCATTTCCTGCCTAGGGAAACCGAGGCCCAGAGAGGGAAGGGGATTTCCCCCAAGGTTTCCAGGAGAGTCTGTGGCAGGTTCCTGCCCCCGGCCTCACTTCACAGAATCCCAGCCCCACACGCAGCCTTCACCCGGCACACAAAGATCATTCGTTCATTCATCCGACAGCTATTCGCTGCATGTCTACACAGCGTGCAGGGCCAAGATGCTGGTCGGATGCCGTGAGCAGCACATAAACACCTGTGGAGTCTACACACTTGTGGGGACAACCAGAACTTTTTGAAGCCACAGCAACTGTAAACTGGGATGAGTACCACAAAGGGAACAGGCGGGGAGATGAGACGGGGGAGGCCGCTTTGGACAGGGGGTCAGGGAATTGTTGAGCATGGTTATTATCAGAAAGGCGAGAATCAGGCCAGCCGGCGAAAGCAGTGGGGGGAGAGTAGAGAGGAAGAATGTGCCAGAAGGTGGGTGCCCCAAGTACAGAATCTAAGAGGTGGGAGTGGCCTTGACACGGTCCGGAGGGGAAGGAGGCCACACCTCTAAAGCCCGAGAGCCGGGGAGAGGAGAGCCAGCAGACAGGCAGGCAGGGGCTGGTCGTCCGGGGTCTCGTTAGGTGTAGCAGGACGCTGCCACGGAGTCAGTGGGGAAGGAGTTTAAGCAGGGAAATAATGAAACCCGAGTTCTTTTTACAAGGGCACGTCGTGTTAGCTGCCGGCCGACAAACGGGCCGCGGACGGGCTGTGGTGGCTCGTGGAGGGGAGGGGGGGGGGGTAGTGGGGTGCCACAGAGATGCCGTTGGCAGAACGTCAGATGGAGGCGAGGGTGTGGGGCGGGCGGGGATCTAGGAGGCTGCAGGTTTGGGGCCGGAGGAGCTGGGGACATGCCATGTACTGAGACAGGGCGCCCTGCCGCTCGGAGATGGGGGTACAAAAGCTTCGTCGGAGAGATGCCAGGGGTGGTATGCTTGACAGAGCGGGGTCTGGACATACATTGCGGCGGTGTTTGTCACCCCTGAACACTCGGTCACGCACAGAAGCCCTCGTGTGAGAAGTGCCGTCATTTGTCTCAGCCGCAATCATAAATACAAATGGGAACACGGGCACCGAAATCGAGTGACCCGGCCGAGGGACAAACATTACAGCCTCTGGAGCCAGATTCCTAGGCTCAGATCCCGCTCCTATAATCAAATGGCCATGTGACCTTGGGGAACTGACTTGGCCTTCCCTGCCTCCGATTCTTCATCCGTAAATCAAGAATAATGGAGTCAGCTCCCCCATCAGCTTTTAGGAGGGTGAAACAAGTTAATACATGCCCGAGCGCTTGGAACAGTGCCTGGCACATGGTAAGTGGTAAAGGAGAGTTAAATATGGTTATTTTATTAAAAGGTCATCTTACGTGTGCCTAATTGTCTTAGATGATCAATAAAGTAAAAGTACAACACCAAGGAATTCTCTTGGAGAGCATGAGGGCTCTCACAAGTAAGCCCGTTGACTCCCAACTGCAAAGCACCGATGAATTTTTTTCACTGTGGATTTGATCTCTCGTCTGTCTCATCCCTATTTCCCGCCTCCCTGCCCAGAAAGTCCTGGTATCGCTGACAGCTAACTCAGATCTCACCTTCTCTCCTTTCAGCCCTGCTGGCCCTGGAGCCCCAACTTTCCCCTGAAAGACAACAAGTCACAATTAGAGACTCCTCCGCCCACCCCACCCCCCCAAGACTCCATGGTCCCAGCATCTACCCAGAAAGAGAAGCCAGCTTGGAATTACAAATGCCATGACTCTGCAGGTAGCTAGGCAGTTACTTCTGTTATACAGAGGGAGCCCCCAGGGCAAGCAGCCTGGGGCAGTGTGCGGATGGAGGGGGAAACAAGGCTGCAGGCCTGGGACACCTGCTTCGGGGCCTCCTTCCTGGTCTGCCTTGAGACTCCGAGCCAGAGGAGCGAGGGAGGCCACCGGTGTGGCAAAGATGGGCTGGACTGAGCCGGGCTAGTCACTCACCGGGAGGCCAGGCAAACCGAAGCCAGGGGGGCCCACATCTCCTTTGGCCCCTGTGGAGGGCCCAAGATGCTGGGCCCCTACAGCTAAGCTGCAGGACAAGCAGGAGTCCCCCTGGAGAAGGAAGAGAAAGAATTGGAAAGCTCCCAGCAGTTGGCGGGGGGGGGGGGGGGGGGGGGGGGGCGGGCAGCCAGGGGACCAGTGTTCCCTTACCTTCTCTCCTTTGGGGCCTTGGATGCCAGGGTCTCCCTACAGGGAGAAAAGGTTTATGGGCTGAGACTGGGCCTGTTGGGGCACCCCAAACTTCCTACTCATATGTGAGGACAGCAATGTTACACACCACAAACCCTTCAAATACCCAGGGGTCCTATGGGGTTCAAGGTCAGCACCCAGAGCCGGGGCTCATCAACCCATGTAATAGATGGAGGAAATCAGGCCAGGTTAAGCTACCCTACTAGAAAGTTCCTGTACCTACCCGATCACCTTTCCATCCAACAGCTCCCAGGCCCTCCTGAAAGAAAGTGTGGGTGAGGGAGAGGAGTGGGGTGGGGAGTCGAGCCAGGACCCTAACCCAGCTCTGCCCACTCCTTTCCTCCACCCCCAACCAACACCCACTCCCAGGAGGAAGGCACAGCCTCACTCACTATAAGGGCTGGCTCCACCCCAGCTTGCCCAAAAGGCATCTCGGAGCCTCCTCAAGAACCCTAGGAGGTAGCCATGGAGACCTGGGTGACCTTCTAGCCCAACCCTAAACTCTATGGTTCAGCCCCCCCCCCCCCGCCCCTCCCATCTAGAGCCAGGACCCTCGGCCCACAATCTCTCTATGGCCGAGAGAAGTACCCAGTCCTTCTGTCACACACCCAACTCCTTTCCAGGATCACATCCCCAGGTTTTTTGTGGAGCTCCTCAGTGGCCACCCTGGGCACTCACCTTGGCTGGTGCCCGATCACCTGGCTCCCCCTTGGGTCCTGGCTTTCCAGGGAGCCCCACGAAGTTCTGGAAGCCTTCAGGCAGTGTTGGGCACACTTCACAGGGGTCACCCTAGCAGAAAGGAGAGACCATGAGTGGACCAACAAGGGGTCTCCTAGAGAAGGTCCAGCACCCCTGATGCTCAGTGTCACCTTCAGAGAAGGGCTCTCACTCCCACCCTATCCTGGTGCAACCCGGCCTGGATCTCACCTTCTCTCCCTTCAGCCCCGGCACCCCTGGTTTCCCCTGTTGGAGAAGAAGCAGTGAACGTTAGTGGTTAGTGCCAGCCAGAGGGACTGGTATGCCAAGGGAGGGCCCCAGGACCTAGCCCCCGGCCCCTGGAGGCCTTGGTAGAGCAGCCCTGGGCATCGTGGGTGGCAGCCCCCCTCCCTCTCCAGACTGGGCTTACTTACAGGTTTCCCACCAGGACCTTCCTTTCCTGGTACCCCCAAGCTGCCCTGTGGTCAGAAGAAGGGTTAAGGGGGAGGCTCCTGGCCACAGCCTCAGACCATTCACCCCATCCCCATCAGTCCCTTCTCTGGATTGGCAGTACGATCTCAGCCAAATCTCCCATCTCCTCCTGGCCGGCTTGGTCAGCAGGCACCTCCCGCCTGCTGCCTGGCCTTCTCCACATCTACCCCAAGCCCTTCTGCTTGCAAAAGGGGACGACTATGAGGCCTCTGTGTACCCCTTCTCCGGTGCAGCGGGTCAAGAGGAATCCGGGTGACCCCAGAGGAACCATAGCAGACAGACAGACAGTCAGACATTTCCAGGGCTTTCTGCTCATCAAGGCATAAGACCCTAAAATGAGCTTGGGCCCTCCAGGTGTGGCCTTTCTGGTCATGACTAGACTTAGGCTTACCTGTCCCCGTGCCTGGAACCCAGGCCAGGGCTCCCATGTCGGCAAGCACTGGGATGGGGACACTCCCCAGTGAGGGGCCTGGCCGAGCTGAGCCGGCCTCCTCAGCTGAATGCCTGGCTCCTTCCCCCCATGAATACCTGCTGCCCTGGGTCCCCTTCTCTCTCCGTCCACCATGCAGGGCATCCCTGCCCCCAAGGGCCCACACTCCTGCCTGTGCTTACCTTGTCTCCCTTAGGGCCTGGCGGGCCGCCTGGGTCCCCCTGAGGGCGGAAACAGCATCCGGTAGAGGCTTGCCAAGGGCCCCACATCACGGTGAGACCTACCCGAGCCCCTTCCCCCCAACCAGGACCCCCAGGCCCGAGCCTTATCTCCCCAGCCCTGGCCAGGCAAGAGAAGGTTCCCTGAGGAAAGAACAACAGGAGGGGCCAGGAGTACTCACCGGTGTCCCAGGAAGTCCTCTCCCAGGGGGCCCAGGGAGGCCAGGGCGCCCAGGCTCTCCTGCCAGCCCCTCAGGCCCAACAAAGCCAGGGTCTCCCTGGCACAGACACAAGTTGGGTGTGAGAGAGCCGCCGCCTCAGCCCCACCCCCCACCCTCCAACCCACAGACACCCACAACTCACCTTCTGCCCTTTGGGCCCCATGACGCAGATCTCCCCGGGCCGGCCCTGTGGGGTCATGGAAGGTAGAAGAAAAGCCTGAGGCCTGGCACCTCCCTGGGGCAGCAGCAAACTGCCCACCTTCAGTGCCCCTCCCCAAAGCCAGACTCCACCCCTGTGCCCCGAGGTCATCAGGTGTCACCATCAGGGCATTAGAGGCCAGGGGCTCTTAGGCTGAGAGCCAGGGGGCCTGGGTTCAGATTCTTTTCTGTCCCCTCCTTGCTCTGCTTCCTGGGGCCTAGCCTCCCACTCCCTGGGTTTCTGTTCTCCTGTCTGAGCGAAGCTAGCAGGCTGGACTCTGCTGGCTAATTCCAGCATTGCACTGAGGACCACGGGGTTGTGGTGAGCAAGGGTCCCAAGCACCGTACATCGCGGCCTGGCCTTCCCGGCGAGCCCTTGATGCCTCCGTCCCCCTTCTCGCCTTTCTGGCCCTGGGGAAGGAAAAGGTAAAGGGACTGGGGTTGAAAGAACGGGCTGGAAGAACCAGTGCAGCTCTATCGGGAGGTCGGACAACTGCTTTCCAGACCCCCAGTTTCTGCCTCCCCTGAGACTGAAAGGCTTCCGTCACTCCAGGAAGGTGGACAACAGAAGGAAACTCCGAACCTGCTGGGCCTCTCTCAGGGAGTCGGTGGCATTTCCCTCTGGGTCTGGTGGGAATCTGGACAGGGCAGGGTGACTGGGAGGGACAGAGGGTCTTCCGGGGGGACGGGGCCCTCCATCCTCCAAGAAGATTTTAGACATCTCCTTCCTCAAGTCGGAAGAGCCCACAGACCTCCCTGGCACCTGTCCCTCCAAATCCACGCCCATTACCTTCTGGCCTATAGAGCCCGGAAGTCCTGAGGGTCCCTGAGATAAGGGGGGGGACACAACAGAAGGGGTGAGGGAAGGAGGGAGAGGCTGGGCCAGGACCCCACTGCCCTGCCCTAACCCCGGTCCCACACTCACCAAAGCTCCTGCCTCCCCCTTCTCTCCCTTCGGGCCTTCTGCACACTGAGCAGGGAGAGAAGGTGTTGAGATGGTCCCAGGGTCACCCTTCCCCAGGGGCTGACCCCATATTGGCCTTGAAGTAGGCCTTGCCTCCAGGTCTTACCTGAAGTGGGGCATCCGGGGAGATTCGGACACAGTCACTGCCCTAAGGGGAGGGAATGAGGGATCAGGGTGGGACCCTGTTTTGAGAAGGATAGGCTCAAGAGTCCCACAGTCCCACTGGTCATCTTCTAGGTACCCCTAAAAAATAGAGGCTGCCATTTACTAACTCCTAGAAAGACCCTACCCATCATCCCCCATGTGGGCCAGGCTGCAGGGGTTTGGCTGAGCGGATGGGATGGTTCACATGCCAGCACCCCACCCCCCCCGGGGCACAGCTTAGCAGGGCCCTGCAGCGGGCATGGCTGGGGCACTTACCCGGGCTCCCTTCTCTCCCTTGGGGCCTGATGGGCCAGGCAGGCCTCGCTCACCTTTCCCTCCCTGTGGATGAGATCAAAACAGGGGCTGGGACCAGGGGGGAGCACCTGGGGGACCTGAGGAAGGTCTCCCCAGTCTGTCTTCTCTACCCATCCCCTACGCACGGGTGTGTAAATGAGCACAGCGTGCCCCAACCCCCAACCATGCACACAGCATATGGATTCCATATGCATTCATCCATATGGCCCTCCCACCCCAAGAGGCTATATTTGGCAAATCTATAGTCTCACAAAGAGGGTACTTTCCCCACACCCCTATCAAAGCACGCGAGCTCACACACAGCTCACCCAGGGGCACATGGACACATGCACGGATGCACACAGACGACAGAACCCATGTTGGTGAGTGTTAGGCTGCCTTAGTTCAAATCCTGCCCCACCGCTTAGGGCAAGTCATGTCACCTCTCTGAGACTTAGTCTCTTCATCAATAAAGTGGGACCTCAGGGGGGTGTGGCGAGGAAGAGATGGGACATGAAGGCAGCCCCCGGAGCTGTGTTATGTACTCTCAGGCGCGCACAAGCACACAGTCCCACGTTTACACGCGTGCCGCCCGCCCCGTCCCTCACAGGCTCAGTGGTCCTGTCGGGCCCACCGGGACAAGGGCTCATGCCCCCCACCCCAGGGGGCCACACACATGTGAACATGTGTCCCAGGAGGCACACAGCCAGACCCCCACATACAATCACTCCGACACCCCGTCCCACACGGGGGGCACAGCTGGCTCTCGGGTTTTTCTGAAATAAAATGAGAGTATCCAGCCTGCAGGATGCTTGAGGGGCGGGAAGGTGACAGATGTGCAATGGGAGGCCCAAAGCTGGATGCACAGGACTCAGAAAAGGGGCGCTCTTAACACCCTTTGACATACACAACCCCCGACTGTCTCCAACACACACCCCTAGTCACCCCCCACATATACAGAGCTGGGTAGCCCCGATAGAAACACACAGCCATGGGGCCACATGCTGTGGGACAGGCTGGGAATGCCAAAGAGGGAAAAACTGTCCTGTTCTCCATCTTGGACTCACCTTGGGTCCAGAGGGACCAATTGTGACCTGGGAGGCAAAGAGAGCATTATATCTCAGAGATGGAGAGAAAAACAAGGGCACAGAGAAGGCAAGCAATTAAGCCAGGGCCACACAGCACGGTGGCAAGACCAACAGCCTGAATCCAAGACCCCCAGCGGACCAACAGCTCTGCCTCCAAGGCCACCCAGCTGCTGACTTCATATGCTAAGGCTGTCAGACCTGCAGCGGGGTCTAACCTACCTTCTCTAAACTGCCTGGCTTTAGCTAGCTCCACCCCCTGGTTGTTAGGATTACAGGGCTGCTCAGTTGCCATGGTAACTCCTGCATATCTGGGGACCATCAGCCTTACCAGATTTGGTGGGGGGCTAGATGGAAAGAGGGCCAGGAAGCAGAGGGGGTACTTCCTGTGTCCCCCAAGGTCAGGGGGCTTGGAGCTGAGGGCACCTGGGGTTGTGCCCTTTATGAACTAACGTGGCATGTCAATTCAGAAAGTCAGGCTATGGGAAAGTAGTGACTTACGCTGCCCGTGGGAGAGGCACATTTGGGTACTAGCTGTGCCCTCACCGAGTGCTCTCCCTTGTCCTTCTGGACCCCCAAAGGGAGGCCAGACCGGGGCCAGCTAGCTAGAGAGGCATAGGAGGGGAAGTCCTGAGCCAACATGGGTTTGGGGGCCAGCGCTGGGCTGTGTCACCCTGAGTCAGCCTTCCCCTTCTCGAGGCCTCCAAGGTGATATGGGAAGCTTTCAAACAGAACAGCCCCGAGTCCTTGTGGGTAGTGGAAAGCTGGGATCAGCAACCCAAGGTTCTGGTCCCACCAGCCACCACTCTGTCCCCATTCCACCCTGGATCGCAATACATTGCCCGGATCACAGGGCGTGAGGCTTCCTTCCATGCAGCCCGTGGTGGGGACAGGGTGGGAGTCAAGCCCGGCTCTGGGGGATGTGCAGGGAGGGAGTGTGATAAGAACACAAAGGCCTACTTGTCCTTAACCAGGAAGCCAACTAGCCCACTCCCAGCCCCCGCCCACCCCACCCTGCACACCCTCTATTCACTCACATTGCTTTCCTGGGCACCACGGACACAGGGTGGGCACTGCAAGGGAAGAATGGGCCAGGAGGTCAGTTCTGAGAGCCCGGGACCAGCCCTCCCCACCCTATTCCCCCCACATACACACAGCGAGCACACAGAACGTCATGTGTGTCCTGAGTGAAGTCCAAGGGAGCAGGAAGATAGGAATCCTACCAAACAAGCCTCATCCCTCAACTCCCAGCGACCCAGTGCCAAGCCATTCCTCACACGAGGAAACTGAAGCCCAGAGAGGAAGAGCAGTGGGATCTGGGTCACACAGCATGGGGGGGGCAGAGTGAGGCCCAGGATCTGCGGTCCCACAGCCAAGGCCTGGATTCTTCCCATGATGCCCATAGCCATTCGCTGCCAAATCAGCAGGAGTGTCCAGGACTAACCGCCCCCCACCCACCCACCCAAGGAGAGGCAGCAGGCAGACCGGGCCCAGCGTTGAGCCCTGAAGGAATGCTGGGAGCTGCGTAGTCATCCCAAACCCCCATGCGCAGGCTCCGGTGCCACAAAGCCTGTCCAAAGGGCTCGTGTTGGCACCTCCTCAACCAAGCTCTTTTTGCCAGTCTAGATGGGAGGCTTACCTCGTCGGCTGCTGTCTCCTGACGGGCCTGGGAAGAGGGAGGGCATGGTAATGGGCAGGAAGCAGAGGCTTCGAAGCCCTGCTTCCAATACTCCTACCCAAGAACCATCAGGAGCGGGTGCCCTACGCTGTGCCAGGTACTGTCTGTCTCGCCCCCATTCATCCCTCCTTCTCAGAGCTGGCACCTGTGCCTCCTAAGCTCTGTCCAGGAGTGGGGGCGGGGGGAAGAGTGTGGGAGAACAGTGGCTTACTCAAGGGGTTTACAGAAGGCACAGACAGCAGACCGAGGGCACCGTGAACTCCACCCCCTGCCCTCCCCCTACCATCTCTACCTTTGTTTCCCTCTCTGCCTTCTGGCTGATGCTTCCTGTCAGCTGGGCATCCACCTGGGCAGACGGAGTCAAAAAGGAACTCTTGAAGAGGGGCAGTGCAGGGGCCCACGCTGGAAAGGGGCACCCAGGTAGGGGCATGGGCCCAGGTACCCCCTCAGCTGGCGTCTCCCAAGGCATTGAAAGCCTGCTCAGGCCCCTGGCACTCCCCCCGGCCTCCCTCCCTTTCCCCCCACCCACGTGATGTCGGAGAAAACAAGACCATGAATCAATGGGATCCTGTGTTCCTGCAGCCAAAGGCTGGGCATGATGCCCAGCGGGCAGGGAGACTGCCCATCCTGGAGGTGGGGCAAAGGGAGGAACTGGGCTTCCCTGCCACCCTGAAGAACCTGAGAGTGGGTAGAGCAGCTGGCCATGGTGCTGGGTGTAGGACCAGCCTATGGGTTGGTTGGTACGGGTTGGTACGGGCTGGGCCCAGGAGAGCGAGCAAGCCCAGAGGGAACCAGTGTGGCCTGGCCTCTGACCCCGGGTACCCCTGTCCCGGACTGCCTTTGAGTGCAAACCTGGCCCTGACCTGACCAAAGGGGTCTGGCGTGACATCAGTGAGGGGCTGGGGAGTGCCAGAGCTCGATGGGCATGTCTCTCAATGCCAACAGGCAGGTAGACACAGGTTCACCCCGTGGGTTCTGGCCTCTCTGAATCCTATAGCGGTGGTCCATAGATGCGTGGAGCTTCCAGTGCCCTCCCTACCCCAGGCACAACTGACCCTGGTGGTAGACCTCAGTCCCACTTGTACCTACCTGTGCTCATGTCTACCTGCCCTGCCCACCCACCTTGCTGTTTTGAGGCTCCTCCAGGCAGAAGCAGCGGGTGTAGACCTTGCCTTCAGTCTGTGGATTGATCTCGATGAGCTCATTGCTCTGGGTGTCCCGGCGGGCCTTGGAGGTCTCTGGGGGACACTGTCCAGAGCGGGGAAAGGGCTGGGGTCAGTACAGAAGGCAGACCGCCCCCCACCCACTCATCCTAAGATCTCAGTGCATCGCCATCCTGGCCACCCACCTCCAGCACACTTATGGCCCTGGGAAGTGTCCCAAACCTTCCCAGCTGGGCCAGAGCTGGGCCACTCACCCCTCCTGGTAAAATCTCACAGCATCCCTCCTCCAGCACAAGCTCCGGGTCACAGTAGATATGTGCCTGCTGAAGGTCAAACTGCAGGGGATACGATACACAAGTCAGTCTCCCGCTTCATTTGATCAAACAGCTCAGTGTCCTGGCTGCCCGGGAGGCCCCGAGATGGCTCCGCCCCAGGATGTGCCCTCAGAGGGTTGCCAGTCTCACCTGGGGAGACCATCAGGAGTATAGCTGTCACCAAAAGCGAAACAGAGCTGCGCATGCAGGAAAGAGAGGAGGGAGAAAAGGTCACTTTGGCCCAGAGGAACGGGGGCGGAGGAGGTTCCGTTTCAGCCGGGCCTTGAAGGACCAGTAGATACTCTGCAGATGGGTATGCATTCCAGGTGGGGGTGACAGCAGAGTCAAAGGCGAGCAGGCGGGAAAGCAGCAGGTGAGTGGACGACTAGGAAGGATTTGACCGGAGTAAGCCGTACAGAGAGATGTAAAGGAAGAAGATACCATAGACATTTCTAGGGACCAGATCACGAAGGGCCGTGAATGCCAGGTTGATATGTGTAGGCTGCATCTGGAGGGCATTGGGGAACCCCAAGAGGATTCCGAGCAAGGGAAGGACCTGGTCATCTGATAGAGCTTCCAGGGAGCTCACTCAGACTCTGAAAACATGGGAGCAGAGGCAGCGCCCCACCTAGCACTCACCGAGACGGGTTTCCCCTGCTCAGCATCCAAGCCCAGAAAGACGTGGCCCACGGGCCGCAGGGGTCGCCGGGGCCCCAGAGGCTGAGAGGAGGCTGAGGTGCAGTCCACATGCACGGAGGCCACGCGTTCAGCCACACTCAGCCCCAGCTTGTGCCAGCGCAGGTCAAAGAGCTGGGGCACGGGGAAGATGCAGGACACAAAGTCGCCGTCTTGGCCCCGGGCCCGGAGCTCCAGGCTCCGCTCTCGGCTGTTGACTTCCAGGGAAATCTGTGTGGCATTGGGGGAGGAACAAGACAGAGAATCAGAGCCCCACAGGCTCAGTATGGCAAAGTTGGGGGCTCTCAAGGTCATTTCACAGGAAGAGGAACTGAAGCCCAGAGAGAGACGAAAGCCGGTAGGGCCACAGAGCAGTCCAACCTGAAGGAAGGGGATAGGAGCTGCCAGGGGTGGGGTAGCCTCGAGGGTGGGCGCCGGGGATGGGGCAGAGAGGCCCCAGAATTTACAAGCTGGGACCGAGGTTGGGCTGGACTGGTACTGCTCGATGCCTCGAGAGCCATGGGGGGCGGGGGAGGGGGGTCCAGCTCACCTGTGGGTACCCATCTCCATCGGTCACTTGAAATAAATACCATGTGCTCTGGTGGGTGTGTTTCTTCAGCAAGAGTGTCAGCACCAGGACAAACTCATCGGGGAGGCCCCGAGGGAATACTCGTCTGGGGGCAGAGCAGGGAGGGGACCCTGAGGCTCAGGTGAGAGACCACCTTCTGCCCACCCCGGGCCCTCAGGACTGCCGAACCCACGTGTGACTCACACAGGCCCACACCTTCAAACCGACACATACATATGCATGTCCATCCGCTCTATCGACACTGATGGAGTGCCTACTATGTGCCAGGTGGGTCCGGCTGCTGGGGGTAGCAGTGGTGAAAACACAGAGAAGGCTCCTGCCCTCGTGGAGGCTTCAAGTCTGATGGGGGAGTGGTAGGGCCCTAAACAAAGGTAGGACCCTAAACAAAGAATCCCCAGGATGACTATGTCACTATGTCAAGATAATTGTGGTGAAGTTCTTCTGAGGAATCCAGGATGCCCTGGAATCCAGGATAACCGGGACTTGGGGGGGGGGGGGGGGAAGAGGTGCTGGCGAAAGATAAAAAGCATTCAGCGTGACTGGAGCAGCAAGTAAGAGGAACATTCTGGAAGGTGAGGCTGGAGAGGGAAGCAGGGGCCAGACCCCCCGGGCCTTGTGGGAGTTTGAACTTCACCCACAGGCACGTGTGGGTGCGCCCACATGCATGCACGCACACACGCACACACACACGCACACACACACACACACGACTCTTACCAGGTTCCCACCCCCATCCTGGGGTCTCCACAGCGCCTGTAGGATATAGACCTGTCCCCCGACTGCTAGCCAGAGGGAGGGGAGGGACAGAGCGTGGGGGTGCCACGCATCTCCTCTGTGCCTACCCTGCAAGCCCCAGGGGCGGAAACCAGGTTGACTCCCAGCAACAGGTGGGGTAAAATGGCCTGAGTCATTTGTGGCATCTGGCATCCCCCCCCAGGTACGCCCCTGAGTTTAGGCCCCACGTCCAGAGTTCCTGGAGAGTATTAATTCCCATTTCACACTGGGGCCTTTACCGCACTGGCTGGGTGAGCGGGGCTGCCCCCAGTCGAAGGATGAGAGGCCCCTTGGGGTTGCGGATCTTCTTAATGGCAGATGTTTTCAGGAGGCCGAGTCGATGGATGAGGTTAAAGCCTTTGGGGGAGACACCAGATGAAGAGCTCAGCTGGGCAGGGGAGGAGGGGGTAATAGCCACTCTAGGAAGATGGGAGAGAGGGGACAGCCGACTGAGATGGGCACTCACCGGTCACATTGGTCGATAAATGGCTTCTGTGTTCCAACTTGAGTCCTTCCTGTTGTGAAGGTGGGCATTGCTCGCCTGGAAGAGAATTGGCAGTGGGCCAGTCAGTGGACTCTGGCTGAAGAGTCCAGGCTCTTGGGGAACCTGGAGAGAAGCAAGTTTTTGTACCCCATTCTGGACCTTTAACCGGGCCCAGCTTTGGGGCTGCTTTTACCTCTTGCTTTCTGACCCTGGCTGCCCTGGGAGCCAGGAGGACCCCCAGTATACAGATGGGAAGACTGAGGCCCAGAGACTGAGGCTGGGCCCAAGGCCATGAAGCGAGTTCACAGCAGAGCAGGACCAGAACTCCTGGAATCCAAATTCCCCCAAGATACCAAGTCAGGCGGCAGGTGAACAAGAGAAAGAGCAAAAGAAACTCTGGGCGGCCCTAGAACTCAGATGGGGTAGAGAGCTGGATACATACCTGTGCTCCCTCCTGCATATACACCCAGCAGGGGGCAAGGGGCACCTCGGGGTAAAGAAAGTCACATTATGCACGCTTGTGTTATATACAAGCACCTGAGCATGTCTGCACACGTGTGAGTTACGGATGCCCGTGCCACCGGGGATGCCATGTGCAGCTGGTACACGTGTTCTCTGCAGTGGGAGGGGTTTACTTCCTACATCTAAAGCAGAAAAGCAGACCAGACACAAGGCTGAGGCAACAGAATGACTTTTCACCTGGATAACTACCTTATGAAACAAACAGGAAGAAGAGACTGAGGGCCTGAAGGGACCACAAGCTCAAGGGAACCACCAGGACCTTGGGGCTCCAGACAGGGTATATTAAGTGGGTAAAGGCTCCTAGAGAAGGATAGCTTAATTATGGTCTCCAAAACCCTGAAGGGACAGAGAGGCAGTCGTGGGCTTGCCTCCTCTTAGGGTTGACTGAGCGAAATGTCAGGAAAGATGCTACAACAGGAGATAAAGGCCAGACTCACAAAGGCCTCCCCATCGCTGCAGGTGGGATAGCTGGGACACAACAATGGCTACAGCCCCTAGGAGCTGGGCACTGGACTCCCCGACCGCCTGGCTGGAAGAAGGGATCTTGGATCCCTAAGCCCAGTGACCCCACTGAAGTCTCCCTCCCCCAGGTCTGGCCAGAAAGACGATCACTGTCTTCAGCATCAGCAGCAGCAATGGGTGACTCACCCGTTGGCAATGGGCCCAGATTCCTTACAGATGTTGAAATTCTCTGCCTCAGTGCCCCGGGGACCCAGTGAGGGAGAGAGCAAGGCACATGCACACACATGCGGAAACACATACAGACACACACAACCTTCAGGCAGTCACATGCGCCCTGGCTGCACACCCCTCTCACATCTGCACCTTGCTTTTTCTGCCCCCCCTTGGCTCGATTTGGGTTCTAGGAGTTCTATTTCTGCTCAGCTGGGCAGCTAAGCTACGAAGCCCAGAGGGCACCCATCAGGGCAGGGCAAGTTGCCCGGTCAACTTCCTCTGGCTTTGGGCCCTGGAAAGCTGCGCCCTCTGTCCCATCCAGCATCTGGGCCTCGAGGAGGGCCCTTTATCTGGGATCCAGGGCCAGCTGCAGAGGAGGAGGAGCACGTGGGCTGGAGGATGGATTCTCCACCATGAAAAGGATTGGAAGGGCTTGGGCCTCTTTCAAGCTGCAGCTTCCTTCTTCAGGGACAGACCTCACTGGCCCTGCCAGCACTGTGTGCACAGGATGGGTTCATATGCCGGGGGTGGGGGTGGGGGGAGGGTTGTTCGTTCACACACAGAGACACAGGAATAGGTACAGAGACACTCTGTGATGCAGAAAGGCTCCAGGACGGACAAACATGCAGACAGAAGCACACAGACACTCTGGCTCACACTGTACCCACACCCCAGGCCACGCTGAGCCCACCCTCCGAATCTCCATAAATGCCCACGTGACCTAGGCACATGGTCACACCTGTACATCGGACCCCAGCATCTCAGGGAGCCAGTCACAGGCCGATGGCATCCCGATCCTCATGTGGCACCTCACCTGTATCTGCCCCCCGGCTGCACACGGCCCAGAGACTGAGCAGCCACAAGCCAGGAACCCAAGATGCCCACATCCTGGTCCAGAGAGGTCAGCCACAGCCACAGCACCTGAAAACCACAGAGACCGTGAAGGTGGCTTCCTGAGCTCACACAGCACGATACATGGGCAAGTAGCAGCCAGCCCATGGGGCCCAGGCCCTAGTACTGGGGTGGCAGGAGGGCTGGCCAGGCATCAATCCCTCTCAGAGGCCCAACCACAGGCCTTGGGCTAGGATTTGGGCCAGGGTGATATTAAAAATATTTAACCACCGGTATGGCATGGACACCAACCCGCCAGAGCAGAATGCTGGCTGGAGCATTCTGGGTCCAGGCAGCGTTGGATGGCGCCAGTGGTTAGTTGCTGGGTTAAGGAGAGATCTAGAGGGTCCTAGAAGGCCAGGTGAACTGGGATAGTGAGGGGGCTTGAGAGAGAGACTATTTACCAAGACACTTAGAAGTATTTCAATATTTTATCAACCTGTATAGCACTGTATTGCTATATACCAGCCTGGTACCTGGCTCGCTGCACCCAGCTCAGCCCCGCAGTCCTGCCAGGCACCCACAAGGTCAAGGGCTGAGTCTCGTGGCAGGTATCACAGAGCTGTGTGTGGGCCAAGGAAGATTCCCCCATGGGTACAGTGGGTGGGAGAGCAGGTCACCGGGCTCAGGACCTCGTTGCCAACCTCTCCCTCTGATGGATGCTCGTCTTTTAGTTTTATTAAACCCTGATGGATGGGCCCAGATAAATCAATGCAGGCTCAGCAAGCGGCCAGCAGACCCATACATCATCCGGCCTCCCCTGAGACAGGCAGCTTGCACGTGCACACACAGAGGCATTCATGTGTCAGCATGACACACGCAGATGCACAGGCACATGTCCACACAGACACATTTGTGCCAGTGCGTGCATACACACCTACCTGCACACAGACTCGCTCACAGAGACACATGTTCACCGACCTACCCAGACATACCAGTTTACACGTACACACACACGAGCACATAGCCAGCCTATGACTATCCCTCCAGTAGGCCCTCCTGTCGGGAAGTTCTTATGCAAGTCTGACCTCATTCCCCCCAGCTGTTATGGAATTCTATCTCCCTTCCCTCAGTCCTGAATAGGGAGTGAGCGCAGGAAGGACCCCTCACCTCAGTATAGTTGGAGATAGGACCCTGATCCCCTTCTTCCTGGGGCAGAACTGTTCCTCCACCCCCCTCACTCGCCTTCCTAGTGGTAGGCACGTCCCATCACTCAAGAGCCAACCGTGGGAGGCATGTGAACACATGTGGAGGGGGGAAGAGCGGTGTGCTTGTCCTCTTCCTGCTCCTCACCTCCAGCCTCCGCTCCCCCGGCCCCAGCCAGAGCCGGGGCTGCAGGGATAGGAGAGAAGCTTCCAACCATGTGATCCCATCCTAATACAAAGGCGCAGATTTGGGGGCAGGGAGAGCAGAATGGGGATGTTTAGAGCTCTCCTATAGAGAAGGCGACTGAGGACCAGAGGCGGGACGCCACTTGGCCCAAGTCACACAGCAAGTCGGAGGCAAAAGAGGCGCTTCAGCACAGAGCCCCCAGGCAGCCCACTCCACCCCCCAACACACACACACTTACCGTGGCTGGGGATCCCCCACCTCCCTGAGTAATCCAGGCAGCCCAGGGCAGCCAGCCAAGGGGAGCGGGGCCTGGGTTCCTCAGGCCCGCGGGGAGGTCCTCGATCACTTCCGACGTCCCGAAACCCCGACTTCCCAGGTCGCTGGCTCCGGGGGCTGAATGCTGCCCCGCGAGCGAGCGCGCGCCTGTCTGCCGGGGACCGCCGGCCACTCCGGGTGGGGGAAGAGGGGCGGTTCCAGGGGGCTGGGGACATGCCAGGGCGGCTAATGGAACACAGCTGGACCCGCCCGCCGAGCGGGAGGCGGGAAGGAGGGCGGGGAGGGGGCTCCGGCGGTGGCAGAGGAGGCCGGCGGGACGCACGGCCCCGCTCCGGGCCTGGCCCCGCGCCCAAGCCCGCCCCGCCCGCTTCCCCGCCAGGTGAGCTCTGCAGCGAGGGGGCGGGTCCCTGCGTGCCCGGAGCGGCCCTGCGAGTGGGCTCCGCAGACGGCGGCGGCCGCCGGGGCGGGAGGTGGGGGGGGCGGTGGTGCAGGGAGGCCGGCCCTTTAAGGGCCCGGCCGGCCGGAGCGTGAAGGGCCTCCCCGGTGCCACCCCCTTCCCCTCTCCTGGCTGGGCCTCCAGAAGGCTGGGGAGGGCGGGCGGGGGGTTGCAGACCCTCCTCCTCAGTTCCGTGGCAGCGGTGACGTGGCTACTGCCCAGGCCTCCTCGGTCAGCTTTTTCCAGTTTCTCAGCCTCACTTTCCCAGCTAGTCTGTTCCCGGGTCTGGAGGGGGTGCGGGTAGGGTCCTCCCGGGGTGGGGGTGGGCGCTGCATTAACCCGTTCTGCACTAGCCTCAGGCCCCGGAGAAGTGGAGCCCAGCAGGTTCCCTTCTTCCTGACTCCATGGGGTTAGGAGGGCTCCAGTCCCTGTCCTCTGCTCTAGCTTTGTGGCTTGGAACTTACTACTTAACTCGGACTCCCTTTTTCATCTGTATGATGGGATAATGATCTCTATACCTCACAGGGTTGTTGTGAGCAGGAAAGGAGTGGAAGTCTATCAAAGGGCTTATACAGGGTCTGGCACAAAAGAGGAGCTCCATATGGGGTGCCTGGCTGGCTCTGCTGGTGGAGCATGGGACTCTTGATCTTGGAATCAGGAGTTTGAGCCCCGCCTTGGGGGTAGAGTTTACTTCAAAAAATAAATATGCAAGAATAGCTTAAAAAAGGGCGCCTGGGTGGCTCAGATGGTTAAGCGTCTGCCTTCCGCTCAGGTCATGATCCCAGGGTCCTGGGATGGAGTCCTGCGTCAGGCTCCCTGCTCCTTGGGAGCCTGCTTCTCCCTCTGCCTCTCTCTCTCTGCCTTTCATGAATAAATAAATAAAATCTTAAAAAAAAAATAGCTAAAAAAAAAAAGCCAAAAAGATAAGCTGTAAGAGACCAGGATTGTCAAGTGATAAAAATGGTATTTTTTTTAAAAAAGCTCAATAAATATTCATTGTTATTATCATTTTTACCATGAACACTGGCAGGAGGTGGGGGGGCAGCTGGGATTCAAGCATATATACCGTTGATGGGACTTGTGAGCAAAAAGGAGCAGGTACGGTGTCCAGTTCTATCCAGAGGCAGGGGATGATCAAGGTGACCCTCCCAAGGGTACCCCGCCACAGGCAGCAAACAAATTTCTGGGCAGCAAGCCCAAGGAACTACAGAGAATTGGGTTCAAGGGGCCCATGAATGGGAGGAATGGATGTGTGGGGGAGAGGGAGCAACTGGGATCCCCTGATGAGGGGAGACTTCCTGTAGAAACAACATGGTTGTACCGTAGCCCTGTGGCCCCATCTAACCCGGGAGAAGGGGGAGCAGGGGATTTCCCGCCTTAAGACCCAGAGGCGCTGAGTCAGCGGAAACCCCAACCAAGGCCACAGAGGAGCCCCACTGTGGTCTGGGTCCCGGGAGCTGTCCCAGATGTGGCTACGACAGTGGTGGGGCCTGGGAAGCGCTGAGCTCAGCAGGCGGGAAGCGGAGGGGTGGGGCTTTCTGGGCACTCCGGCCTGAGAAGGGGGGGCACAGGCTCTGTCTTCCCAGAGTGTGCTGTCCCAGAGATGGGCACTTGGGAACCAATAGGCAACACGAATAGGTCAGGGTCTGTGCTAAGAACTTCACATAGGTTGACTCCTTTACTCCTCGCGTCCACCCCAGGAGGGAGAATTCTATTCTTATCCCCATTTTACAGATGGGGAAACTTGGAGTGTAGGAACGACACAACTTGCCCGAGCTCACATGCCTAGAAGATGGTGGGAAAGGGACCCACGCCCAGCTAGCCTGCACTCACAGCACAAGTTCTTAACTACTGTGCCATCCTGGGCAACTCCTACCCTTCCCCCGCATTCATACCCGACTCTCCCAGGCAGGAGGGGAGGGTTGGACCCAGAGCAGTCAGAGCCAGACGGACCTGAGAAGGGGCAACCCAGATACCTCCCTCCAGCACTCCAAGGGTAGGCCCAAGAACCGCCAAGCCTGGGGTGCTCCTCCGGCCTGGATACACTGCAAACACAGTCTAGAAAGGTGCTTCTGCCCCTCCCTCCCTCGGATGCGTGTGTGCACACATCCAGGAGCGTGCAGATACACTGTCTCACAACACACGTGTAGACTTCACATGCACATGTAGGCACCTATATGTACACAGACACACGCACACACACACAATGGTCCTGCACATAAACAGATGCACAGAGACACATATGGGAGCACATATGAACCCACAGAAATATATCCCTGGACATACTCCAACACAGGTGCATAATTCTCAGAATACATGGGTACAGCCCTACGTATACCTGGATATGCACACACACAGATACGTCTGCACAAACATACACAGACATGCACACATGTGCCCACGGGTGTGATTACTCATACATGTGAGCAGAGAAAGCTGCAGACCTACAGTGCATACATATGTGTGCACACAGACACCAGGAGGCTCCCGCAGAACACCCCCCCTTCACACACTGACCGTGCACGCACATGCATGCACACATTTATATGCGTCTGCCCCAGAAAGCCCTGCACACCAGCAAGCAGGGTCTCCTGTGGGGCTGGGCTCAGTGCCCTCACCCCAGATGGCATCACCACGAGGTAATCAACGCTGCTAATCGCCACCAGCTGCCCTGGAGCCTGACTGCCGCTGCCGGGTGGGGCTACCGAGGCCTCCTGGGCCCAGAGTAGTATGCCCAGATGTCAGCTGGGCCCAAGGGCTGCCCACCCCACCGTCCCAGCTGGCCATCGGGGAATCCCCATCTGGCAGGGGCAGCACCAGAAGCTGGGGGAAAATGAAGAGCCAAGACAGGGCCTTGTCCCAGGACAGGCCCAGGAACTCCCACGAAGCCAAGCAGAGGTGGTCTGAACCCCGCATGCACACGTGCATACCTGGGCCCTGGCGTATGGGCAC